CGTCGAACCGGTGTGGCCCGTCATAACAAATCGACAAGCAGCGACGACGGCGACGACGGCGACGTCGACGTCGCGTCGAACCGCGAATTGCGACGCGAGCAGCGCTGCCGGCTACCAGCTGCCAGCTGCTGGCCGCTGGCTGCTGTGAAGATCAGAGACTGACCAGGCGCGTTCGCTTTTTGTGTGTCAGACAGACTTGAGTTGTATGTGTATCTGAACGATACGAAGAGCCAGCGTACGTACGGAATCGGGTGTGATGAGAGTGAGCGAGAGAACGGGTGAGCGAGTGAGAGGAGGCGGTGCGGTGCGGTTGAACGGTACTCAGTGACTCGTTAAGTGCTTTTTATAACGGCAAGCAGCAGGCGGCATCGATTTCCACGATTTCCACCTCCATTTGCGATCGATGATTGATTCGATTTCGAGGGCAAATTGCTGGAACATTTGTTGCATGTGGCGAATCTCTTATTTAATCAAATGTGCTACACTCTGTGCTCTCCAGTGCGAGTATTTGTGTGTGTGTGTGTGCAATTTACTGTGCTTCAATTGACAAAGCGGCAAAAACTAACAAAAGAATTCAATTAAGTAGCGACGCGATGCTCTTTTTTTGGCGCAAATTCAATTAATAAGCGCAAAATGCAAAAGCAAAAATATGCGTATAAAAATACATAAAAGCAAACAGAAATCGAAAAGAAAAAACAACAAATCCAATGGAAATAATTTAAATAATAAGCGTAAAGTGCAAAGCGAAATGAATAAAAAATAAATAATTTTTGACAAATATAGAGGCGAATTCTGAAAAAAAAAAAAAAACAAATAAATTTATTCAAAGCAAAGTGCAAAGCCAGAAAAAATTAATTAAAAGTCGCCATTAGCAAACAAAATAATAAATAGTTATTTTAATCTATATAAATAAATACAGTAAATTTTGTGCCAAGTTATTCAAAGATTTAATGTGATGTGTAGAAAATATCCAACATATATATAATTAAAGCTTATATACAGTCAAAAATAAAGGGTTAAACTATAGACAACAATATTTTATTAAATTTATTGCGAAAAATAGTTTATTGTTTAATAAAAATATATATTTTTAATAAATAAACAACGGCCTAATGATTGAAAAGATTGAAATAAATTAATAAGTTTATTTAAGAAGTTAAGAAATATCCACCATTTATAATTAAATAATATGGTAAAGTCCCACCCAATGCAATGCACAGGAAATACTACATAAATACTTTAATAAAAACACTTTCGTGAATGAGTTAAAAAATGAAATCAGGCCAATCGCCACAGTAACGATAAATAATCATATTTAAATAAATATTTTCCATTAGAAAATTAATTTAAAAGCAATTCTTATATTTGTTAAATACAAACCAATAAAATAATTGAATTTACATGTAAATTGCGATAGTACAAATAAATAAATGTGGATGCATAACAAACTGTTGGACATGTGCTAACGCTTTAAGTCAAGAGCCAGATCTTTTCTGCTGCTGTTGCAGTTTCATTTGCTGCTTGTTTACTTTTGTTAAATTTGTTTTTGTTTTCGACTGTGCACTGCGCTGATTAGCCCAATTGCGGCTATTTGCCCAGTGTGTGCGTGCCACGCCCACAATTTGCTTAGTTGTCCCACCCACATAATATCATTTGTGCGTGTAAAATTTTCGTTAATTGCTTTTTTTGCGGCTGTCTTGTTAACATTTGTTGTTGTTATCGGCGCTGTTATTATTGTTGTTGTTATTTATTATTGTTGCATTTACAAGCTAAATTATTTTTATTGCCGCTCGTAATTAGCAAATTGTTTTCATCCAGCTGCACAGATGACGTCACAAGCGCAAACAAAATATCTTTTAATTGTTTAGATACATATAGTATGTGCATATATTTATATACATACATACATATATACTCATACATTTCTTGTACTTTTTTTTTTGCGAATTCAGCGTAGCTCAACAACTGAAAAGCCAGGCGAGGGCCGTTTGAAAAGATGATAGTATAAAATTTATATTTTAATAAAAGCAATATGAAGGAAAGTCATAAATATAAATACACTAAAAAATAAATGCAATTAAAAATAAGAATACACAAAATTGTTCATGCTATTATTTTCGTTTACAAATTTTTCAAATTTGGAGCACTGCAATTTAATTGAGTAAAGCTGAGAGCTGGCTTTAAGAAGATGTGTGAACGAAAGTATAAAAAGGTAAAGCAAAAGCCTGCGGGCAACCGTAGGTAAAGAGATGACCCAAATATATTATGTATATATGTTGATATATTTCTTTTTTTGTAAATATCTAGAGTACTTGGCTCTTAAAAGTTGCAAAAGTAAAAGTTCACCTTAACTTTAACTTATTTACAATTTCAAATAAGATGCCCACAGCTTACGTTTTTGCCATTAAGAGCTCCTGAACTAGTTTCTAATCTTTAGCTACGAAGCGAAACATGTGACTATAGTTTTGTATAATTATCTTTCTGGCACTCAACGCATCCTTAATGGGTTTTAATTGGTCTGTGGCTTTCATTGAAATTTATGACTGCATGAATCGGAAAGCAAAACAAACTCGTATTATTATTTAATGTTTTTCTGTTTCCACTGCGCATTGCAAAACAAAGCAGACGCAAAAAACATGAAATCAAATTCCATTTTCTTTGCCATCTAATGTAAGTGATTACCACAATTTGCATGTTGTGCCTGTGTGTGTCTGTGTGCGTGCCTGTGTTTGTGTTGTATGTACTTTAAAAACTAAGAGCTTTACACAAATATTTGGCATTTTCATTAGAGGCACTCAACGTGCCAGAGCAAAGCAAGGCAAAACAGAAAATAGAGTTGATATAGTTTATGCTCTACTCTTTTCTATATATCTTTATAGAGTGAATGCATAAATAATTATTGCATTAGCCGCAATAGTTTTTCATATTCGTTTTTTTTTCTTTTTTTTTTTTGGCTCCACACACGAAACGTGACACTTGGCTATCAGATTTTGCACTTGAGCGCTAATAAAAAACACGCAATACACGAAGGTTGCGGTTGGGGCACGTAAATACAAGTAGTTCGACACCTAGTCATAAGTACGAGACAGTTCCAGTTATTGGCTGCTTACAAAAAGCTAGACAAACAGTTGAAAAGCCCCCAAAAAAAAGTTGATTAATCGAGCCACTTGGCAGCTACACTAACCAATCGAAGTCAAATACGTCACTAATGGACTCTTGAATTCTTTTTGTTTACAATTCTAATATACATTATTGAACGAATTGAAAATATTAGAATAATGTTAAGAGTAGCAATTAAAATGTTTAACGTATCGCATTCTATTAAAATTAAGAGCAGTTTTGAGTTGTTCGCTCATGTGAAAGTGTATGTCCGCGTCGTTAGCAACTGTGCTACACTTTTCATTTACGTTGCAAGCGATCTAATTGATTTTTGGTGTGCTTAAAAGTCGCTTTAACAGCGCTCAAATGCAATTATGAGCTCAGCGGCAATTAAAAGCGAAACGCGGCATTAACACGTTTTGGGGCAAACGCGATAATTAGCGCTTAAATTATGTCAAATGCGATCAACTCTCGTTAATCAATGTAAACAATATATATTAGCAGCGTATAACATGAATATAACAGTTGTCATTACAGCTGCCTGCTAGTTAACAGCGCTAGCACAGCGCTCAAAAGCTTGCTACGTTAAATAGCATGCAGAGCACAAAATGGCTGCTCAAGTAATCAGAACGCGTTTGAAACTCGAGCGAAGCGCACGTGCTGTCAACAGTCGCGAAAAGAGCGTACAAAGCAAATTAGGAGAGGCGCCCCTTTCGACTGTTGCCCAACAACAAGTGTGTGTGTGTGTGCGTGTGCGAGTGAGTGAATCTCTCTTGCTCGCTCTCTCTTTACCTGTGCTTGTGTCATATTCACCACACTTTCAAGTAGGGGACAGGCTGTGTGTGCTTTTCACAGCGTGTGAAAATATTCGCACACTCACAACGTCTTGGTGAGCACGCGAAGCCAGTTGCTCCTTGAAATCTCTGTGCGTATACGAGTGCGAGTGTCAGTGCGAGTGCGAGCTACAGCGAAAGCGATAGTGCCAAAGTGAGCGCGACTGTGAGTGCGAGTGCGAGTGCGAGTGCGAGTGCGTTACAATAAAAAAAGTAAACAAACGTGCCAGCAGAAGAAATAAAAACTGCCAAAAAAAGAGCATAGATTGTAAAGCTTTGTTTACAGTTACAGTTATTTTAACTGTTGCTGTACACTCTCTCTCATTCCCATTTTCTCTGGAATTTGCATACATATGTGCATGTATTTAATTTAATATAAGTAGCAGACCTCTGTTTTGCGCTTAGCAGTGAGTAGAACAGTTAGCTGTTGGGCAGGGGTTGCTGCTGTCGGCAAAACGTGTCTAATTAAACAAACAACAAAATTAAAAGTTTACAATAAATTTTTTTTAATACAACGAAATAAAAATGTTTATTTGTATGCATTCATTTAATTATATCGTTTTTTATCACCGCGCGCGTGCATAAACATGGATAAAACAAAGCTAAAATAAATACAAATTATTTATATATTCAATCGTTAGTCATAAAATAATAATACGCAACAAAACCAACAACAGTAACTATTAAACAGCTAATGAACTGCGCGAATATTAAAATTGAAGCGATATTATTTCATTTTATTTTCATTTTATATGATCTGTGGCATTTGCAACAATTGAAATTGCACCATGTGCGCTTTGTCAATTAATATTTTAATTTCTGTATAATGAAATTCACATGTGAAATTTATGGCTTCTGTCAATTTATCGCGCTTGTTGTGTTCTGTTCTCGCGCAAACTCGAGCAGAAATTCAATTTGCATTTAAAAAGGAATTTAAAAAATATATATTTTTCTTATTGTTATTATTATGATCCTCAGCTTGTGGCTAACGAAAGGCATTTTAATTTGTCTGCCTATAACAAATCAATAATATTTAAATACCGAAAATAAAAAACAAAAGAAATACAAAGCAAAAGAAATACGCAAAAAAGAGTAGAAGCAAAAAGAAAAAAACAAAACGGACAGGTGTGCAAAAGAATCAAATGAATCAACAACAACAACAACAACAGCAACAACAACCACTAGCTAAACCACCTATTCTACTTATAAAGAGCAACAACTAAGCAGCAAACAATAAATATTCGAACAACAAGTACAACAGCAATACAACAACAAAAGCAACTGCAACAGTAAACATGTCGGAAAACAGCGACAACAATGGCGACCAGCAAAGCCAAGGCCAGGGGGCGGAGGGCGAGGCCATGGGCGAAAACAAAATGAAGTCCCGTCTCCGTAAAGGAGCCCTCAAGAAGAAAAACGTCTTTAATGTGAAAGATCATTGCTTCATTGCGCGCTTCTTCAAGCAGCCCACATTCTGTTCCCACTGCAAGGACTTTATCTGGTAAGTTAACAAGCAGATCAATTTATCTGGCAATTAGCGTAGAAAAGTGAAACCCAATCGAGCTATAAACTATTAGAGGATATATACTTTGCTTAACTTGAAACATTCACTTTTAGAATAAGCTTGTATTATCATTAGATATTATGATTCATATCTATTTTTAATGAATAGCTCGTTTGATACAACAAAGATATATTTTGAAATTGATCATACATTGAAATCATTATGAACTTTACAAAAAGTTCATCATAAAATGTACATTTTCATTCAATTAAATTAAATCATCAAGAGATAAGCTAAAAATATTAATTAATATGAATTATGTTTATCCAAGACATCAAGTATACGCCTTTAAAAATGTTCTGCAGCTATGAATAACATAGCACTCTATACTCTCCCTATCACTCAACTACACCTATTTCTATATTACTGCTTGCTGCTACACATATTCTTATCTTTCAAACCCCACGCCCACAAAAATTCAGAGAAGAGACAAAAGTTTCTTAAGCAATTTCCAAGTCTAGGCTTGGGTAAAGCTCTTGCTACTCTTGATCTTCGCTGTTAAATTCTTGTATACCCTGTGAAATTCTTTAAAATTATGTTTAACGCCTGGCACTTGTGGGTCTACGCCGTGACAGCGAAATCGGCGACATAACTAAGCAGACTACGTCAATCGATATTATGCCTATCTGCTGGCCAGCGAATAGCAACAGCTACAACAAAACAACAACAACACGAAAAACAGGAAAGAGAACAAAGCCACACATTAAAGCCAAGCAAATGACATTGCAATGGAAGCACGTTGAAAACCAGAGATAAGAATCAAGTTTAAGGGAACGACCATTCTATACCCTAGCAGAGGTATTCTTGAGATATTTGATATATTGCAAATATTTTGAATATGGTATGATAAGATAATTAAAAACATAATGGAATTTAAATGCGATTTTTAGTAAAATTCATAGGTTTTTATCAAATTTATTATGAAGATCGAAAGCTTCGCGGGTTTTCAGTACTTTAAGTATTTAGACTTTTAGATCATTGAAAAGATTCATATATTTTTGTTTTACCATTCTCTGTGTTGCTTCCTTAGTATAAAAATTTTATTACATATTATTAATAACATAAATAGAATTAAGCTATTAATGTATATTTAAAATTGTGGACGTATTTATATAGAAAATTAATCTAATTAATTGATTTTTATATGAATCAATTTAGAAGTTTTCATGCTAAAATTTCATCAAGTTGGCTTTTGAAATTATTAACGGTATGTACACACTACATATTGAAATCATAATACCCAGTTTGACGACGAAAGGTAGCATGTAGTCTGCCCTGGTCGTGTAATATTTAATTTAAGTGAAGCCCGCTCTCAAAATCTTGCCAAATCCGTTGTTATGCATACAAAATAAACACAAGAAATACAAAATTTTTGGGGCCAGCTGGCAGTTTGAGTTGCGCTTCCTTTTCCCTTTTCCTGTTGCTCTTCCTGTTGCTGGCTTTTGTACCCCGCTTTCGATTCAGTTTGACTTGTGGATTATGAACCAATCTCATGCGCATTAGCTTGCGGTTCACCTATCTACACACAAAAATAATTTGTTGAACGTGTCGGCACCGCAAAAACCTTAGAAAATATTTGCATAGCTTGCCAGTGAACCAACGAATCGCCAATGTGCCCAGTCTTTTCGGAAAATATTATATATTTATATTCTTACAGCGGCTATCAGTCGGGATATGCATGGATGTAGGTATTTTTATCGTTAAATGAAATATACATAATATATATGTCATTCATTTCAATTTGCTAGTTTACTGTTTTAATTCGCAAAAACATCATTTACTTTTAAATTACTCCGAATATAATTTTCATTGCCTACTCTCAAATGGTTTTAATAAGAATTTTAAGATATATGTAAAGATTGAATTGAGTGATTAATTTTTAAGGATTGATAGAAAACAAACTTTATAACTAGAGCTGCATCTTAGAACTTGCATCTTCGAACTTTATATAATCAGGTTTCATGGCAAAATTTTGCCTTGAGGAGGTTTTACCTACAATCGTTTTTATAATGTAATTCTCAAAGGGCATTATAAAAATATTATATGAAAATAATAATGAATTGAGAGTTTTAAAATATAAATCCTTACTTTATTTATATGCAGTCAGCGTATGACAACCAATACTGTTTTTTCTCTATAAAATATTTAATCATAATAAATGTCCTATTACGCATCCAATCAGTATATATATATTTCAATTTACATTAGGTAAATTGAAGCCAAATTAATTATATTTTATATTCATAGTTTGGTATAACTTGGTCGAGCGTAATTCGTTTGGGCTTTCAATTTAATTAATTCGAAATTGAAAATTCACAATAGCTCTCGAGTGTCAAAGGCCTCTCTAATCATTGCGTTGACAGCTCAAAAGCCACACAATGAAAATGACAAGAAAATTAATTGGAAAATCGCATAGCTGGGCACATGTCAACAAGTCAATCCAGATGCTGTAACGCCCCAAAGTTGGGCGTGTCGCTGGCTCTTAGCTAATTGCCATAAAACATTTAGCCAATAATTAAATTAATTGCTACTTAAAATGCGACTCAATGATCCAAGTTTCAACACCACCAACAACAACAGAAAACCGGCCTCCAAACGCTAGTGAGCCATGTGAAACCGAGTCAAACGGCCCATAAGAGACATTCGGCTCTACACGCAGATACACGCACAGATGCGTAGCTATTTCGCTGCTGTATTCGTTGTTCTTCTGGCCACATCGTGAACGCCTCTTTTGGCCAGCGGCAGCTAATTAACAACTCGAGTTACAATTTTCGACTCGCAACGCGTTTCGCGACTCGTTTTGGCCTTTTAATTAATAGTTGTTGGCTCTTTGGTGGGTGCACACAGCCCCCAAAAGGCGTTGCAGGCACGTAGCACATAGCAGGTAGGCGCACCGGGCGAAAGCGGGGGATGGGCTACGTGGTGTCTGACAACGTGTGGTGTGGCCTCTATGCTTCCCAGGTGGCTAACTGCTGTTAGGGGTAGCAAGTGAAAATCGCCGCAGTGTTTATGCCACGTAATTTGCATAACAGAAGCGAGAAAGCACAAAAAAGGATAGAAACAACAACAACAAAGAAGACAGAAGACTGATCTAGTCAGGTCCTGGCTATATAATACCCTCAGCTCGAGTCGCAGCCTGTCACGTAGTCACTTTTTGTATGTATATTTTATTTTATAGGACCCAGTCAACTAAATGTAATGCATCTATTATATAACACTCTTATCTCTTTGTCAACAGTTAGTTTATTCTACGTTGACAGCAGCTAAATGCAGTTCTTTCATTTATTTCCAGTTTATGCTGCGGTAATCATGCATTGCAGTATTTTATTTGTAATAACCTAAATAAAACGCTCTAATGAATGCAAAGAGCGTAATTACACCTTTTTATACATACATGTATATATTGTATATTTTAGAGGAGGGACATTAGTTTTGTGTGCATACGCAATGCAATATAAAGTGATGAAAATTATTATACATAATGCGTAAATAGATATTCATTCAGCATTTATATACCCTTTGGTCTACTCATTTATTGCAGGGTATGGGAATTATAGCACCTCTGACAAATTTCGCATTTCCGACACGTTGCCTTTTACTCTCTCGTATACTCAAGATACATTACCGTCTAAATGCAGTCAAGTTAACACGTTTTTATGCCTCAGCATGTGGAAGACGGCGTTCCTTTATGTTTTGATCAAATCAGAAAAAGAAAACGTTTTATTTGTCTGATTGCAATTCGACTCTGTTTAAACCCTCGCTAAAACTCTATATTTCTCTCTTTCTCTCTCTCTTTATGTATATATAAATATATATATATACATAAAAATGAAAACAGAAATTCCGAATTGTTTACCTTTATCTCTGCAATCCACATAAATTGATATGACATGTGAAATATTGATGTATCGTTATTATAACTAAATCAAATGTTATAGACTGAACAAACACTATTATCACACTTATTGATTATGTTCAATCATCCGAAATGACATTTGCTGAAAGCATTGAGAGGAGACATTACCCCGCACAAGCAATAAATACTTAACTTTGACCTAATGCAGCTGGAGTATTCAACATTCTTTTGCTGCAATAGCGTTATCAAATTGCTTTCAATTTATATTGTACATTTTATAGTTATTGTAGATGACTACAAGGCGCATACATGCTTTTAAAGATATAAAATAAGTTTTTATCAGCAATAACTATTTATATTGAAAAACTTGGCAAATGAACATGGCGCGATTCCATAAGAGAAATTTACGAGGAAAATAAACTTTTCTCTACAAGCTTCAAAGCAACATTATTTATCAAAAATGACTCATATATTTCGACAGAACATTTCAGTTTTTCTTTGAGCATGTTTTTGGAACATAATTATATGCCTTCCATTAATAATAAAACCCCCAGAATATTTTATAAATTTTCCTTTGATTAATCACGATCTTACTTTCTAAGCTGGAAATCATATAATTAATTGCAAATGAAAGTCACGAATTCGTGCATCTGCGTAACTTTTTAAATCAATCTTAAATCTTTAGCGTGCACTTTTAAGTTTTTCGCTTGCGTGTTAAATTAACTCGCATCAACTCAACTCGACTCAACGCAAAATATATTTTTTCCGTTTTTCTTTGCTGCAGAATTTTCGCTTTTGTTGTGTTCCTTTTGTTGGTGTGCGAAAAATGCGCTTAATTAAAAATTGGAAAAAAAAAACTGCAGGCAAAAATGCGCAGAAAAAAACTAGGCAAGGCAAGCTCGGTTGAAAAATACCTGTGTAGCATATCTGCAGGCGCGGCGCATGGAAATTGCTTTTCCAGTTCATTTGATGCGCAAACTAACAAAAAACAAGGTAAAAGAAAAGCCTGAATAAGCAAAGACAAAGAACAAAAAAACACAAACTAACAAATTGACAAACATTTCATAATTGTAATTAAAGTAAAGTGCAGATTATTAAATGAGCACAGAAAATATTCCCCCGGGCCTAAGCTCTTTAATTGTTTTCATTGAAGTCTAATCGGATTTTGTCAACTGTGGAACCTCAAACTTATCTGGCAATTAAAATGGGCTTTACGTAAAACACAATGAGGGATTGCAAGGCGAAATAATTGTGTTTGGTGTGATGTAATCAAATAGAATTTCGAATCGACAGGAAGTGGCCGTAATTTATATTTCCTATCAATTTTTACAAAGAAGGACTTGCCTAAAATGGATAGCTATTGTTGTAAATTTATTTGTAAATATGTATGTATATTTGTATATCTATAATGAGCTATGAATAGGCAAAGTAAATCGATACAATTACCCAAAATAATTTAAAATACAATTGTAAAATTCGAAAATAATGAGATTCACATCGAACATTAATGTATAAACAAGTGCGCCTGCTCCCTTTCGGGAGTGCTTGACTCAGAAATACCCTGATTCCTGACAGCGCTGAAGGTTTAATCAAAATGTACACGCACTGACATTAGCAGACTCGCTCATATAAATGTCAATAACTGTGTGTCTATACATGCTTTATACATATGTTGAACTAATAATGTAAAGAATGATAATAAGAATGTATTATGGGATCAAATTGATATTAATAAGAATTAAGGACAGACGACGTCAATGCAAAGAATGAAATTTTAGATGCGCGTGGAATGACAGAATATATATTTAAATTTTCATTCTTCATGACAACTGATAACAAACATAGATTCAGAGTATAGAAGCTCAGCGCGTGGCCTCCTCCTCCTTTTTCTTGTTGTATGCGTTTGCATAAGAGTTGTATATTGTATTCCTATAATCATGGATATATGTTTCTCCCAATTCAGGGAATAGCAGTTTTAATAGCGACTAGAAAACTTGCCAGTGACTAAATGTGTACATAAATGCATATATATATGCATATCAACCACAGTTGTCTTCCTCGCTGCAGTTCACATTTGTTCACAATTTTATAAATCGCCCACTGCAAAGCGCACATATTATATACAAATCGGTTCACAAAGCGCCAATAGAGCAAATTTGCATGCAATGTATGCATGCAGTATATACATATTTCAGTACATATGCACATAAATGTATATGTACATACACACACAAACAAACATACGTGTGTATATATTTATTTGCGTGCCACATAGGGCATCGAGTGGGCGAGAAGGGTTTGGGGCTGCGGCCTGAGTTCAGTCGATAAGCGGCTTGTGGTCAAGGCATTTATGGCTTATGGAATATGCCTAAGACGGGCAACGTAAGCCCCAACACAAACGAGCCGGCCTATCCAACTGGACCAAACACTCGGACGTAACGCTTAAGCTGAAAAGTAGGAAATATAAATTCGGAAACCACTCACACTCACACAGTCACGCACAAGCACACACGTAGATATGTATACCTGCATGATATGAGCTTTGAAAACAACAACGAAATATGAATTTTGCATTGCAAATTCCTCTTGCCAAAAAGCAAACAAATTCGTTACAAACTTAATTTTAAATGAATTTCCAATTGCAATGAAAACAAACAATTTTCAAGGATATCAAATATTTAAATTGATGTACCTGGTGACATTGAATAAAGTGAGAAGAATTAATTAAAACGGAAGACCAAAGTTAAAAAATAAATAAATAAAGAAATACAAAATATATACGAAAATAGGGAATACGACAAATTATGATTTATAAATAACCTTCAATACTTATTAAAAGATCTATTTAAAGAAAATAGTAATACAAAATCTGTCAATTTTTGTTGGTAGAATGTTAAACTTTTGAAGAGTCTAAAAGAAATTTTTAAGCATTTATATTTATAAGGAAGACATACTTTATAATAAATACGTTTGCCTAGCCTTGCCTGTCTATAAACAGCACTCGGAGCTAAAGCCTCGAAATGAAAAAATCATTCTAATCAGATTGCAAATGAATATGCATCTAAAAGTACTCTAATAAAGGGCAAACAGTTTCACTTAGATCATTTAACCCAAGTCAGCTCTAGCATCTTCTATCCATTCCGAGATGCATCTCTGCTGACCTACATTACAGATTAGCTCAGAGGCTGCGCGCACAATGTAAGCATATTATCCATTGATATGGCCAACAATAGACTTTCTATTTCTTTCTAACCTAAGCGGCTTTAGCTTGTCCTTAATACGCCTTCTGCATTTAGTATATATATATATTTTACAATATTTTAATGATGTAAAAGGTACTTATAAAGGAGCATACTAATCAGAAATTCTCTCGCTTAAAGCCCTTAGCAATTGTGCGTTGCGCTGCGAGGCCTGCTGACCTTTGACCTGTAAAGGCAATCCATTTGTTTTTCTATATTAATTATATTGATTGAACTGCACAGCGAGCGAAGAGGCCCAGAGGCAAGGAGCCTGGCAAAAATTAGCATATTGTATTTGCTGCGTCTGCAAATTAAATATTTATGCAAAGTGGTTAACGCACACACACACACACTCTCAGAAGAATCCCAACAGCAAATCAATTAGCGCAAATTAGCAGCAACCACATTTTGCGTGTAATTTAACTAATTCTGACTGAAATTTCCCATTGGCTTTTTACAGGGGCTTTGGCAAACAGGGATTCCAGTGTCAAGGTATGTAAATAGCTAGGGATCGAAGTGATCCCCCAATCTATAGAGGGCTTTATTAAACTTCGATTCGTTTACATTTACAGTCTGCTCGTATGTGGTGCACAAGCGTTGCCATGAATATGTCACCTTCATCTGCCCCGGCAAGGATAAAGGCATTGATTCCGTAAGTGATCCCCTTATATATGATGTATACATACAATAGAGTACGCTCCTAACACAAGCTTAACTGATTATATTTACTTAGCTTTAAGTTTGCAGCATTTTCATGTGTGTGGGCGGAAAAACTAAACCAATAACTAAATTCCAAATTGCTTTCAATACACATTTTAAAAGAAAGTAAATGCCTTTCACTCTCTCTCCTCTCTCTCTTTGCTTATGTGTATAGAAATATATTTTTCCATGGCACTTTTTGTTCTGTTGCACTGTCAAATTAAACTGTCATTTTGTCGTTTCCTTATATTTTGTTATTTTTTATTTTTCTTGAAAAATGCCCGACTCAAGCGTCATGAGTTGGCTGCTGATGCTTCTGCCAGCTCGGCTGTTGGCTTACCAAAATGTCATTTTGACTTTTTAGCATACCATGAATTTCATATTTGTGCTGGCCCCGGCTATAAGTTGTCCCCAGGGCAAAGCCGCACCACGTATCACTTGTCAGAGAGACGCAGAGAAATGCGACGGTTTACGATGATGTGAGGGTTCAGTTTATTCATGTTAACGACCAAAATATTAACTGCATTTATGTGACAGCAAAATAATTAAAATAGTATTAATAAAAAGCTAAAGCGCCTCAGCTGTTAGCTGAATGTAAGTAGCATGTAGTATGACGAACAAAGAGAAAAAATAATATATAAACAGGTAGATTAAAAATGTTTTGATATGAGATTTTACATTCATACATTTTGCATAATGAGTTAGTAGTAAACTAGCAGGAATTGTTGGAAAATGGTAAAATGTTATATGGGACATTAAAAGTTAGTAACAGCTTAACATTAATGTTGTACAAGAACTGAACCTAACCAATTGTTTCCGTAATTATGTGACAAAGTAGAGATGGGAATGATATGAATTCAGTGAATGTTAATTCTCATTAAACTGGAATATTGAAAATTATGAAGAATAAGAGTAATATATATCAAAGATAGTAGGAAATAAAATAGAAAGTAAATAAAATGGGAATCGAAATTCTATCGCTGCTCTTATGTATTTAAATGATCAAATGTATAAAATGAAATAAAATTGAGAATATTAGGGACACACCATAGAGATAAAAAACAACTTACAAACAATTGGAAAATTATTATGACACAAGAAAATCCGCCCAAAAATCCATATGAAAATGCTGTAAATTTGCACTAAACGAAAACAAGAATATTAATAGACTTAAACTTTAAGTTAAGTTTAGTTTACAATGTAGAACGCAATTAAAAAAAATAAAATTTATAAGATATAACAATTAAATACTAATCACAACTTGAACGTAAAATTAGTTTTGCTTGTTGTCCATTCAGCAATGTTTTATTGTCATCGTGCTCTGTTTATTTACCACAAATTGTATTTTGTATTTTCATGTACCAAAACAAACAAACGAAACAACATTTTTGTTTATCTATCAAAATCACATCGCTCACCATAAATATAAAAATATAATAAAAACTTACCTCGAAACTTGGGCACGTTACACGCATTCCAATTGATAACAAAAACAACAAATTCAAAACTGAAGGACTCACCAAAAACTCAGCACCATTTCGAACCATTCACATATGCAGGACCCACGTTCTGTGACCATTGCGGTTCTCTGCTCTATGGCATTTACCATCAGGGCCTCAAATGTTCAGGTAAAGTCAAGCGCCCCACTTCCAGTCTAACCCATGTACAAATACCCCAGTCCCCAAGACTTTTGCTGTCTCTTTAACTCTTTTCCCAACTAAACTATCGCTATGTTTATGCTCTGTTAAGGCGCTGCTAATGCGCTGTTAACGGGCTGCAAGGCCCTTAGAGCTCCTGCTAATTGCTTGCCCAACTCTCTAACTATCTCTTCTTCTATCTATATCCTCTGTACATATACTTCTATGTTTCCGTGTGCGTGATTGTGAGTGTGTGAGTGTGAGTGTATATATATATAAAACATTTTAAGCTAATTCCTGCTATAATCGTACATTAACTAACTCACAGGCCCCTAAAAGTTAATTATTTAAACCATTGTACAGATTTATGGTTTGCCTAAATACTTAGCTACCCCTATATATTATAACAAACCCCTAACTACCTGTGTACTATATATATATTTGTATATATCTAAGGCATTTGTAAGCTCCACCCAACGGCTTTGTGTGTGTTTAAATTTTTGGTAATTGTTTGAAAAAGTTTTTCTCTCTTTATTTTTCTGTGTGGGTGTGTGTGTGTGTGTGTGTATGTGTGTATGTGTGTGTGTGGGTGTATGCTGGCACGTGTCCAGGTCTTGTAACTTCCAATACATTTGCATAATTATGCAGAGCACGACCATGCAGGACATTGTATAACACAGGATGCTTATATCTAAATTGTATAGAGTTTTTGAGCCGAAATCTAATTAAAATTTCAGTGTTTGTGCAGGCTGTGCAGCAGATAAAAGCGAAGCCAAATCTGCTAAATATATTATTTTCCGTTGAAATATGCAAAACTCGTTCATAATGAGGTTAGCTGCCTCCAGGGCCTAGTGGGTATGCTGAGAGGGCAGCTTCTTCAGCTGCCTCTGCCCCTGCCCCTGCCTGTGTGGCTGCGCAAATATTTAATGCATTTTCGGTCCGCATAAATGCAATGCTTCAGCTGAGAGTTTTCCGAGCTTGCCGGAGTCAACAACAGTTGCGCTTTGTTATGTGGTTGGCTTTTCTAAATGTGAGTGAGTGGCTCAGCTGTGTCTATGTGCGAATCTACACAGAACGTATTTCCCAGTAGTCTAAAGTGGAGATATGCATTTCGTTTCAAACAGTCTGTGTATCAGCTTTCATTTCCGTCTCTCTTCCTTTCGCTACTCCGTTTTGTGCAGTGTGTTAAAGCGCCATTAGCTTAAGTGCTGTAATAGCTTTACATCTGAGCTTGATGCTAGATATGTTACAGCATCCTATATCTATATATTCTGCCAGTCGAGCTCTCTTGCCTCTGTCGGGTTTGCCAAATATTGCAAAATTCAAGGCTATGGAGAGCCAAGTGCAGTTGCTAAAACTACTCTTGTCAGTTGAAAGTTTTACAACTGAAGACTTAATTAGTATAGCCCCGCCCACACTTATCAACGACTAGCTAGCAAAGTGCTCTCTCCTAGGCCCCAAACAGTCTGTTTGTGGTAATTTACGCAGGCAAAGTCAAGTGCTGTTGGAGAACCTTGGTAAGTGCCCTCGCATTAGGTATTGTACTATGTATGTGCATGTATGCATGTGTGTGTGAGTCGACTCAAACTTGAGGTTCGGAATATGGCAGAGCTCTTAAGTGTTCGATTCACTAGTGGGGAAAATCGATGAGGCAAAAACTGTGAAACGAAAGAATTGAAAAGATGCCATGGCAACTATTTAGCGGACGTTCATTTTCTTTTGCTGTTAATCAATGCGTGAGAAATGAAAACGTATAAACGGAAATTGCCTCCGCAGAGCTGTTGCCGTGCCAGCTATACGATTGTAAAGGATTTCATCATACATTTAACCACATTTGCAACACTTGCCCGATAGTGCGGTACAATGCGAAACTGAGAGAACTGCTACTATGACGCTTCCCCATGTGTGTGTGTGAGTGTGTCTGTCTTGTTTGTAATAGAATCCCAGTGCTCAAGTGTTGCCTTTGTCCAATTTGAATCAGCCCTGTGATTGCATACAAGCATTGACAACCGATTGGAGGACGAAGCTCCGAGGAGAGGCCCCGCAAGTTGTACGATTTGTGGTATTGTTGTTGCAAATCGGATCAAATATATTTTGTTACGACAGACACACACCAACACACACATGTGCACACAAAGAGCGAGAGAAAGGCGACAGTTTGATAAATATAGCAATCAATTTATCAACAGTCGAGTGCTTAGCACCTGTTGGTCCTGGCGAATACATATATGTGCTTAAGAAACGGAGGTAATGGGACTTTGTCAAGTTGAATGTGACAGCGAAATAGTAAAGGCGAGAGGTGGATAGAGAGAGAAGGGGAAGAGAAAAGAATGTGAGAGAAAGGCATAAAGAGAAAGGAAGCAAATTAAGTGAGATGAAGGCCAGATCTGGCGAAAATAAAAGAAAGGGTAAGAGAAATAGCTGAGAAACAATTGTGAGCTAATATATGAAGGAAAATACAACAAATATTCTTATCGAGTGTCTTCGCTTTTACTCTTGAGACTGTCAACCACTCAGCAACGCATTCTCGTCAACTAAAGATGGCTCTTGAATTGCCATCGCCACGATAGATGGTTCTTAAATAACTATCGTCACTTTCGATGGGTCTCCACCTCAAGATGTTATTGGTCTGCTACAAGGGAGAAGGGCGGAACAATGAAAAGAAATATAAGAAAATAAATTAATGAATTAAAACTGAAAAATGAAGAGAGCATGAAAATCATGAAATGAAATTAAAAGATTCAATTAAAGGAAACGAACAAAGAAAAACTTAAGTAAAATAATAAAGAAAAATACCTATAGTTACTTGAAGCTGCTGAGCTTTTTGAGCAACTGTGGCCTCCATCATATACGAAATTTAATTCAAGGCCCTTGTTTAGGGATTAGATTAGTATGTCTGAGTAAAATTTTTAATTGGTTGAGAGAATTTCTTATAGTAAAGCAAAGAGAACTTAGAACATGTATGCAAAAAGTTCAACCCAACAAAGAGTATAATCGATATGAATATATAATATATTTGGTATATTAATAAAGAAACCCGGCCTACATTGATGCAAGCTTATAAGCTTCGGGATTCTCTTTTTGATTAAATCACAATACAGTTACTGTATCAAGCTGACTCTCCTCACTCCACTGTGAGGGCATTCAGAGTTTGAGCTGATCAACTCAGCATTTCTCCTACGCTTATTCGATTGATTTGGCAAGTTTGCAATTTGGCAATCATTTGTCGATTTAATCAAATTGAATGCAGGTGCCAACAAGTTTTGGGGCCCAGCTATGAAAAATCTTGGCCCATTGTCTGGGGAGTCTGAAATCAATTTGTGCATTTTATTGCCTACACACATGGGGATGTATGTGTGGGGGTGGATGTACTTGAGTGTGTGTGGGTGTGCGATAATTTGTGTCCGTTGGTGGGGCGGAAATTGAATACGAATCTAGTTTGTACTGAGCTGTTTGATTTGCTTGATTGGTTTTGGCTCATCTGCCAGGGGAAATAAATTTGAGCAAGTGATGGCATGATTATATATACATAAATGTGAAGGTGTGTGTGCATATGTGTATGAGATATGGTTCTTATCGTGTGCATAATAATAATTTATAAATGCAAGCCAAAACTCTCAAAACATCACCCTTTAATATGTGACCCGTTATACGATTGTAAATATGTGTTTGTGTGTATGTATGTGAGTTATATACACTGTGTAACGTCCTTGAATTACTGCAAAATGAGCGCTCCAACTGATGCTGGGCCATCGCTGGCAGACAGCAGATACAAAGCTTACGATAGCGAGATAGAGCGCAGAGCCAGATGAAAAAGGGCGTGAGGTCGTAGGGGGCGGAGCTGGGGAAAGCAGGAGGCACCAGGCAACAGTTTGCAATGAACAGGCAGCAAATTTGTTAAGTGACAAAAAACGCGTGATAAATTGCTGCAAATATATTTTCCGAAAATTTGCTTTTTAATGCGATGCGAGGCACGTGACAAAACGAGCCATGTGGGCGTGGCACGCGAGTGTTATCTAAATAAAAATTGTGCTAAATATGACAGCAGGCCGCATGTGCGTGTGTGTATGTGTGAGAGTGTGCGCGTGTGTGTGTGTGTTTATGTGGGTAGCCTACGTGACGCAGCTGCGAAAAGCTGACCCGTGCAACATGCAATAAATAACAAAGTGAGAGCTCCCAGCAAAGTTGATGCCACATAATGAGGCATGTTGCGCGCTAATAACTCAGCTCACTTCCGGTGAAAATTTAAAATGTTTCTGTTGAGGGCAAATATCAAGCTTTAACATGTTGCAGGATATTTGTTAGGCATTTGATCAAGTTTAATATACAAAATATATAATATATGCTTGTTCTTAATTAACTTCATACATGTGCTTAGTGTTCCTTTATTATGCTCAAAATGTGGGTTTTAATCAGGGTTAATAACAACAACAATATTAAAATCCAGTCGGGAAGTGCATAACATTAAATATACATTTCTTGTATGCGAGTTTCGATTTAGATTAGTTTTATAAATAACCACATATTTTGTTTTTCAATATTTAAAAGTGAGCAAATTATGTATTTTAATATATCTGGTCTTCCCTCATAGCAAACACCTTAAAAATTTATACAAAAAATACTCACAGCTAATTCTATATCTTTTATATTCGCATATATATATTTTATGCCACAACTTTTTTAGAGCTTTTATGAAAAATAGTTTTTTACTGAGATTTTCCGATATGTTTTAAAAGCTGTTAAGCAGCATAAAGTTTTCTCTCTACTTTCTTTCTCTTTGACTTTCTCATTATTTTCTACAGCTTAAATACACTATAAATTTGCTTTTTATTCAGCTCCTACATATAAGTCTTTGCAAATTAGAGTTTTCGTATATCCCTCCACTTCTCTTGAAAAGTTTCCTTCAGCAACTTTTACTTGTCTTCTTTAACTTTTGAGCTTGGCACACATTTTGAGCGAAATCCACTTGGGCATTCTAAGGGAGATGAGTTCCTTTTATGATTCGCATGCCCATTTGCACAATACGTAAGCGCTTTCACTTCAAGGAACTCTACAATTTTAGCGAAATTTCGAGTTTCTAACATCCGGCGAATGGCTGTTAATGCCACCTGTCGAGCTGTGGAGCTGTGGAGCTGGTGTAGAGCCAAGGTTGGTAGCACAGCGATTGGCAATTGCATTTTACCTTCAAACAAACTTGCATACAAGTGCATTTAATGCAGAAGCAAACACACTCGCATGCACAATCGCACACATTCACACTCACACAAATACCCAGCCTTGGGCGCCCGCCAAAGTATGCAACACTTTTTGTGCGCGTGTCCCTGCCAGCCGCAGCAAGGCCAACCACACAGCACACACCACAGACACACACACACACACACACACACACACACAGCAGACAGCATACAAACATACACATACACACACACAAGCACACTTACTTACACGCCCTTCCTCAATGCCCTTTTGTGGTCTTGTGTGTGTGCTTTTGCGCTTTGAGCTTTGCACTTGGATCGGCTCCATTTTGTTTGTCGAGCATCGCTGCAAGTTGTTGAGCCTTGTAAGACTCACAGACAACAACAACGACGCCAACAAAAACGACAACAAATGGCCCAAAAACTGAGCGCTTGATACTCATGCATGCGCATAATAATATCTTATGTCCTTGCCCACTTTTAAGAAGTCGCCTTGAAAAGAAGCACACAAGGATAAAAAATAAAAAAATAACTAAGCACAAGAAAACAGCAAGCGTCGCAGGCAGAGCACGTGTGAGCTGCTGATGAGTTCACGGCACCGACATTGCGGGTTCAAAACAGTTAGGCAGCTGCGCTGACCAGTTGAGGAATACCCTGTAAATGAAGAAAATGTAAATGGACTAAAATTTGTTCTTGAAGAGCTCCTACAGGATAGGTGACTGTCATATATACCTTGAATATTTTTTCGCTCCTCTGTTTAGATGTGTCGACTAAAAGTAACCAGTATACCCTTCCTCACTTTTACAGAGACAGCTTTATTTATATATAGAATTTGTGGAACGAGTTGGTATATATATGGAAGTGTCTTCTAAGAATTTTATTTATGAAAACCTGGTGCACTTATCTGGTTTGCACAGCAGCTGCAGGCGTCCCTCTAAAAATATCTCCCTTAAATGCTAGGGTATAAACGAGCTGATGCACATACTTGTTTAACGAGCTTCAGCAATGCAGTGCATCCATACACATATTCTTATTATGATTGTTGGAGACCCTCTCAGCTACATGATCCTCGCTAAAGGTCACAGCTCGTACAGGGTATCATGCATGAGCTTATTCTAAAATTCTTGAGCTCTTCGTTAGCTTCTCATCCAAATACTCTACAGTATCAACTACTTGCCTACTGCCACTACAGGGTATAAGTAGGCCTTAACCCCTGTCGAGAGTGTGTCATTGTCCTTCTGTGTACATAAAAATGAGCGTTCTTTAGAAATGTGTGTCTTTGTGTCTTAGTGTGTGTGAGTGTGAGTGTGTCTGTGTCTGTGTCTGTGCACGAGTATCGATGCTGTTTCTTAGAACGGATTAGGCAACAATTGTCTGTTGTTTGGCATTTGTTGGTCTCAGCTTTCGCTGGGAAAAACGTATAGGAATTACAAGAAAAAACACATAAAAGTACAGAGAAAACAGAAATTGTTATTTATGTAGCCAATGGGGCAGAAACGCAAACACTATTAAAGCGTGCTCCCAGCTCGGCTAAGCACAAACAGAGCTGTTCACTTGTTTGGCCAAAAATCGCTACACTTGTGCAAGTTGGTTTTCTTTTCGATCAGAAACTTGTTGTCAAGCACCCCGTATACCCCGTCCCAAGTTGAAATTGCACAGCACATTCACCGAAATCCACAAGCACCGCAACCCATGACCAATATCCATATCCATAACCATCCATAACAATGCGTCCATCTCCCATTGCTCTAGATATTTAAGTTGATTTTGTTTTTCATTAACTATGCTTTGGTGTTTGTCTTGGAAAGGAAACAAAAAACCTAATCCGAAAATTAAATATAATAATATTTAATTTATGATTCATAATTGGCAAAGCTTAAGTTTGAAATACTTTCGTTTTGGCTGCAAGTTGTTTGTTATGCTTTAGAGTTAAATGTACGCGTTTATAGCGAAAAACCTGCGTTAATTTTCCATTAGCTCTCTCCAACTGTTCCAATTCTCAGGCACACCAGATGCCACACAAATGGCATAACGTTGCCTTCCTGTCGCCGATGTTTTGCGATCATTGCGGCTCGCTGTTACACGGCATCACGCACAAGGGTCTCAAGTGTCGAGGTAAAGTCTAACCGAAGCTCTCTAATCATACTCAAAGAGGCAAGCGGGCGAGGAAGATCGACGATGAGAACCCTCACTCGCTTATTATATGTGTGTATATGTGTGTGTGTGTGAAAGTTTGGGCTAGAGATGCGCGTGTTAGACATTTTACTTTTACTATTATTTTAATTATAATTACCATTGTGACCAAAGGTTGTTAACAAATGTCTAATTGTTATTATTTCATCACGGAATGTTTACCAATAAAAGTAAAAGATTTATTTATCCTCACTTCTTGGTAATACAAAAAATCAATATTCGGCGTATCTCTAGCCATGTCTTTAATATTTTATTGCGTAGGTGTTGGCTAAGGATGTGCGTGTGCCCGGATTGATTATATATCAAATTTTTTGTTCGACTTTTCAATTTTCTAACCCACATATACATTTTAACTTGTGATATATATTATTTTTACTTAGCATCTATTAGTTCTGGCTGTTTATAAGATTCAGAAATGTGACATTTAAAATTAGTTATACTTTGAGTGCCTGACCTTATAGACATTGTAGTCACTTTTGGCATGGCTATCCACCAGGAGCCTCTTGTTTCTATTACCAAAAGGATACCGAGACTAATTAAAGAAATTATTATACTAATATTTTATATTTTTGTTCCAGTTTTTAGTATTATTTAGCTTATTTTTTTTATTATTTTATTCCCTTTTTTTTTTTTTTTTTAGATAAATTACTTCTTTTAATTCATATTATGATTGAACTCCCTTTGGTTCAAAATTATTTAAAATGTCTTTAAAAAAAATGTAGTTTATAAATTGGTTCGTGTCACGCTGGCATCTCTAGCCCTACGTCTCTCTGTTTAGCATCTAAGCAAAGCGCCTGCCGTCTCGTCTGTTGACTTGGCTTTTATTTTATTTTGGATTGTTGCAATTTACAATTAGCAACGCTTTGTTCCGGCTCAAGTGCGCACTTGCCACGCTCAGTGTGAGTGTGTGTTAAGTGTATGTGTGGGTGTGTGCGTTGGCTAAGTGTGTGTGTGTGTGTGTGTGTTTGTGTGCGCGACGTACTTGAGTTGCTGTTGATGTTATTGTGATTGTCGCCATTGCGCTGTTGTTGTTGACAAGTTGCCGCCCCTGCATGGTGCCACGCCCATGAGTCTAAGTCTAATGCATTTGTTTACTTGCACTTAGCAGTTTGTTGTTGCTTGTTTTTGGTTGTAGTTGTTGCACCTGCATTTGCATTTGGCTGAGAGAATTGCATTGCCGCCACATGCTTTTTATCAAATGGAAAATGTTTGATTTCAACTGGCCTTATTTTAGTTAATTGTACTACTTAATCTAGTCCAGTTTGTTTGTTTTGTTCCGAATTTACTGTGACTTCAAAGGGGAAAAAGAAAAACGAAATGCGCAATTTTCCGAATCATTTGTTAGACGGCGCAAATTGTTGCCTTAATATCCGGTTTGGCCCCTTGGCAAACAAATAATTTACTTACGCCTCATTGGCCGCTGGCCAGGCAAACACAATACGAGTACAACCAGAACCACAACAACAACAAGCAAACAGACAACACCACACACACACTCGCATACACACACACGCACTGGAAAAAGAGCCAAGCAAACAGATTGCGAATGGAAATGTAAATGTAAATGTGGCGACAGAAAATCCAACAACAATAAGCCGCAGTCAGTGCCGGAAGTGCGTGTGTATGTGTGAGTGTGTGTGTATCTGTCATTATCGAGCGCCAATTCTATGCATCTATCTATGTATGTGTGTGTGCGTGTCATTTGCCTTAGTTTAATAACGTTTGTAATTCTATTGGAATTATGTATTTGGGTTTTGCCTCATTTGCGACTCTGAATTATTTAGCACACGCAGGGAACGGGAGAATACGGGGGGATATAATTTATAAGAGATATATCTCCAATTAATTGAATGTGGTAATTACAACTGTTATAAAATTAAGTGCTTAATTGGCAAACAGAAAAGGCCAAATGGAAAATGGAGATTTTAGTTTCAATGGAATATCAATAAGATTATATATGTGGGATATCAATATTTAACGATTTATTATAGATTTTAATTTATTTTTTATTTTAATTAACTTAAATAAAAAAAAAAAACAAATATTAATTCAATGTAATCATACAAAACTTTTGAGCAAAAAATGATAATGATAATAAATTAAACATAACAGTTTAGACACACTCGGAAAATACAATAGAATATAGTATTTAGTAATAGCATGGCTATTAAAACCCATTATCATTACCCAAACTCCAAACCTCTGGCTTGTATAGCTCAACAACACAAACTACTGCTTACACTTTCAGAGGGAGAATGAAAAACTGAACTTTATAATTACAAAATATAGTCTGAGGCAAGTCTTTAGGGCAAAAATTATTCTAAATACCAAAAACCAACTATGGAATTTCTGATGAAAAAGATTATGTGGGTTGTTATTTAGACCAACTTAAAATTCTTAGAAAAGGATGGCGAAAATTGTAACTTAAATATGCACTAACGAGTGGAAAGGACATTGAATCAAACAAGTAGCTAAAGGAATACCCTGTACCAAGTATATTTAGTTGTATAATAGAATATATTGTTTTAATTAGTAATTTTAATTGAACTATTTTAAAAGCCTTGTGTTCTTTGTTACATATACCGATTATTTTACATGTCATACCCCATGCTTGCAATGTTTTATAGGGTATTTACAATATATAGAGTCCATTACATGAGCCTGCATATGTTGCTATATAAATAAATAATTTTACGCAAAAAACGGGCTAACACAAAACTGGGCCACATTAAAAACACAGCACACACACACATACAAATACAGACGCACACACACTTGTTGGCTGGCATTTGGTTGCCACAAAATGTGGCACGCTATGGGAAAACCTTCTTTTATTTTGCTCTCTTTCTCCTTTGTTATTTGCTCGATGTTGTTGTGTTTTTTGTGCGCCGGACAAAAAAGGAAATAAAAACTCTTCCATATTTTCATTAAACGCAACACACAGACTAACCGTACTGACCAGCCTGCCACGCCCACGGCCCATGCCCATGCCCAGTGCCGAGTCAGCTTGCGGACATCAAAAAATGATTACACTTTCTTTTTTATCCCCATGCAACAAGCGAAAGTTTCACAAAATACGTATACGCCACGTGCGCCTCGGCTGTCAAATGACGGCGTTGCAGGCATCCAATGGCGCATACTTTTCATAGCGTGTGGGGGAAGAGGGCGCGGCAAAAGGGTAGTATAGTAAAATGTCCCAAGTAATTTTACACATGAGTAGCAAAGGCGGAAAAAGAAAACGCAAGAAAAGCGAACAACAAAAGCGAAAAATGCCATGAAATCAGCCAATGATGCAGGAAAGGCCTGAAGGAAGAGCAACAACAAAATGAAAAAACAGTCCAAAAGCCTGACCATCATATGTCCCATGTGCTGAATGTGAATCTGATGAATATGATGATAATGATAATGAGCGGTCAATTACGGCCATCTTCATTAGTAAGCATAGGCACTGAGAGACTGACAGATTCTCTATTCTTGCTTATAGATAGAAATGACGAAGAGGCAGTGAACACGCCTGATAATGATAATAGCCAATAGATGAACTTTCGGATCAAAACTGTCTAGCACGATATAAGCGTTATTAGCGACAATGATAATGAGGTGTGGATTAGCACACATAGAGAATGGAAATCAAGACTGAGAGATTAACTTTTAGATGAACAGTAATTCATTACATAATTATTATTATGTTTTTTTTTTTAGTTAATTTAGATACCAAATTAATTTGAGTATTATCGAGTAGGACAACGTTTATGAGGAACTATAAATATACAGCAATTAAAGATATATTACATTTATTTATTTCGATCGATTTTTCTATGAAAAGTAATGCATTGGTATTCCAAAGCTAACTTCACAAAAGAATTATATAAATAACATAGCAAAAATTGAAGAATATTCAGTACCCACCCTCCCCTTGCTCCACACTTGAACAGGATATTCGAAATGGGATTTGCGTATTAAACACTACGGTTAGTCGAGTTCTCAGCGTTGCGAGTGCAAAGTGAATTACAATTCCAATTTTGCAATAATTTCCAATTCAATGGGCTTCGAGTAGTGCTTGGTGCTGTGGTAATCCTCTTGGCCAACTCTTCCCGAACATATGCGGGTGTACATGTGCGTGCATGTGTGTGTGCATGCGCATCATTTCCATTTGCGACATGTGCGCCTTGAACTATGCAACAGTTTTTGTGCAGCGCTTCATTTCCCGTTGCTTTTGCCAAATTGATTGCGAATCGCAGGCGACAACACAAATTGGCGTTGATGTTCTATCTCGCATACGGGCGCGGGCCATCTGTGCGGTGTGGGCGTGGCAATAGGCTAAGGGCAAACAACGAGGGGCTGAGTTTATTGGATTGGCGCGCTGATTGATAACTGGGAGCAGATGGCTGCTGACGCTGTGAAGGACTTTTTACATACCCTCTCGCTGAGAGTCCATGCACTCTGCTGGCAGCTTGCAAGCTGTAGAGAAAACAAGTCTGCCAGCCTACATAGTTGCTCAGCTTATGAGTGTTTGTGTCTGTAGGACATTTGGACTTCGGCTTGCCGAAGAGAAAGTTTGTTTTGCCTTTTTTCGTATTCAATGGGCCTTTGGACTGTGGGGTAAGTACTTGAGCTATATCAAAACTCGCTTTGTATGCGTGCCCTGTTGCGTGTCCTGTAAGCGTGCGTGTGTGCGTATGTGTACGAGTATGTATATGTGTTTGTGTGTTTATCCTTGTCTCCTGTTGCTTTTCCTGCCAACGAAATCACTTTCAATCTATGCTGTAACTTCGTCCACGACTTGACCATCTATTTCAATGTTTGCCAAGTGGCCTCTAACAAGCGACTTATCTTTATTCCACTACGTGACCCATGAACTGCGACCTGCCGCCTAAACTTATTTAGCATGCGATATGAACGTCCACGCCCGCTGCAAGGAGAACGTGCCCAGCCTGTGCGGCTGCGATCATACGGAGCGACGTGGCCGCATCTATCTCGAGATAAATGTCAAAGAGAATCTCCTCACAGTGCACAGTAAGTACGGTCAAAAAGCGACCCCCAATTCTCGGCGCATAACGAGCAGCAACAGCTCTCAAGTGTTTGCCATCTCCCGTCGCAGCGATACAAATATAAAGCGCTTAAGTTTTAACCAATTATGGCGCCCAACAAGTTAACCATAAGCCTCCCACTCGCAACTTTACGAAAGCGGGCGGATAGCAGGAACGTAATAAAAATTATGAAAAGCTGTCGCAAAGTTTTCTTTTCTTTTTTGAACTAACAAGACGCTTAAAATGTCGGGCAGCTCTGCCTCTTCCGCTTTTCATAACTGTGAGGTATTACACTCCCTAACAGGTTTACATACTTCCAGCTATTCAAATAATTATTATTTCAATGTTTTCTTTTGATGACCTAAGCTTTAATAAAAAAAAAAACACCGTTTTTTACATTATTCTAGTTAGCTTAGCTCTTAGCTAAAAATAAAACAAAATTCTTTTCTGCCCACTTAAGATTTCATTTGGAATAAATTTGTTTTTGTGAAAGTTAAAGACAGATTAAACTTGTGTCTTAGAATTTGCTTGGCTTCTTAGCATCAATTCCAAAGGCATATTCAAGTAGTGGCATCAGTCAGTTTATAATCTTTAAGTAACTTTTTCAATATCAAACTTTTGAAAAATTAAAACAAAAGCCTTTCATGCAATTTATGCTCACTCGGCTGCCTAGGGCCTTGGGTCTGACGATAAAACTAAAAGAAGCCTCAGTTATTTATTTAGCTCACTGTTTCAATTCAAAGCCTGGGCAGCATTGAATTTAATATGCAAGCCTCCGCAGTGCCTTGGGGAGATGGGAGCGTCCCTCAGCTGAGGCGCTGGCAAATTGCTTATGATTTGCATTAATTCATTATGAAGAAAAACTCTCCACACAATATGCCACATAATGAATACTAAAATGCAGTTGCTAAACAAAAGCGTGTTAAAAATATCTTGCGCCAAGGCAGGAGAAGCGGGAGCAGACGAAAAGCAGCCAAGGCACGTGAGCAATAACAATGGCCAGGATAATGCGCTGGCATATTTTATTGAATCTCGCGCTTGGAGTGAAACAAGAAGAAAAAAAACTCTGTCTATGGTCACGTTTCTGCTTGCAGTCAAGGAGGGTCGCAATCTCATACCCATGGATCCCAACGGCCTCAGCGATCCGTATGTGAAGGTGAAGCTGATACCAGATGACAAGGATCAATCCAAGAAGAAGACGCGCACGATCAAGGCGTGTCTGAATCCCGTGTGGAATGAGACGCTTAGCTAGTAGGTTCCACCTGTCACCTGTGCGTTTTCCGATAATCCAAGGCTCTATTTTCGCAGTGATCTGAAGCCCGAGGATAAGGATCGACGCATTTTGATCGAGGTCTGGGATTGGGATCGCACTTCCCGTAATGATTTTATGGGCGCCTTGTCCTTTGGCATTTCGGAGATCATCAAGAATCCCACCAATGGCTGGTTCAAGCTGCTCACCCAGGACGAGGGCGAGTACTATAATGTGCCCTGTGCGGACGATCAGCAGGACCTGCTCAAGCTCAAGCAGAAGCCGTCGCAGCGCAAGCAGCCAATGATGCGCTGCGACACACACACACAATCACAGTCCAAAAAGGACATGATAAGGGCGACAGACTTCAATTTCATCAAAGTGCTGGGCAAGGGATCTTTTGGCAAGGTAAACTAAGATTCTCTTATTTTTCACTGAATTCCCTTAAGACTTTCGACTGCTGCAGGTGCTGTTGGCGGAGCGCAAGGGCAGCGAGGAGCTGTATGCGATTAAGATACTCAAAAAGGATGTGATCATACAGGACGACGATGTCGAATGCACCATGATTGAGAAGCGTGTACTGGCGCTGGGCGAGAAGCCGCCGTTTCTTGTCCAGCTGCATTCATGCTTTCAGACGATGGTGCGTATGCGGGATGTTGGGGTAGAACAATTATTAACAATTATTCCATCACGCAGGATCGTCTGTTCTTTGTCATGGAGTATGTGAACGGCGGCGATTTAATGTTCCAAATTCAACAATTTGGCAAGTTCAAGGAGCCCGTTGCCGTGTAAGTAAAAGTTCTCAGTCTGTCAAGCCGAATTTCCAATTTTCCCCTGCTTTCTCACAGCTTCTACGCTGCAGAAATAGCGGCTGGACTTTTCTTTTTGCATAGCAAGGGCATTTTGTATCGGGATCTGAAGCTGGACAACGTGCTCCTAGATGCGGATGGACACGTGAAGATCGCCGACTTCGGCATGTGCAAAGAGAACATCGTGGGAGACAAGACGACCAAGACCTTTTGCGGCACACCAGACTACATAGCGCCAGAGGTGAACTAATTGAGTTGAATAGAATACAGAAAATCAGAATTATCCTATATGCCAATTATCCGATATGCAGATCATTCTCTATCAGCCGTATGGCAAGTCTGTGGATTGGTGGGCCTATGGCGTGCTGCTCTATGAGATGCTGGTGGGTCAGCCGCCCTTCGATGGCGAGGACGAGGAGGAGCTCTTCGCGGCCATTACCGATCACAATGTGTCCTATCCCAAGAGTCTCAGCAAAGAGGCCAAAGAGGCGTGCAAGGGCGTAAGTAGCAAAAGGAGATCGAATGAGAATTATATATGTATGTATATCTAACGTCATTCAATATTCTTCAAGTTTTTGACCAAGCAGCCCAGCAAACGTTTGGGCTGTGGCGCCACTGGCGAGGAGGATGTGCGTTTGCATCCCTTTTTCAGACGCATCGACTGGGAAAAGATCGAGAATCGCGAGGTGCAGCCGCCGTTCAAGCCAAAAATTGTGAGTTGAATTCGGTAAAAGTATAATATTATATAATTACTTTACTTACCCTTCTGCCACAGAAACATCGCAAGGATGTGTCCAATTTCGATAAGCAATTCACATCAGAGAAAACAGACTTGACGCCCACGGACAAAGTGTTCATGATGAACCTGGATCAATCGGAATTTGTGGGCTTCTCCTATGTGAATCCCGAATATGTTGTCAGCCCATAAGCAGATGCAGATCCAGATGCAGATACAGATGCAGACATCGGGAACAGGCAACCGGAAACAGGAAACGGAACCAGCGAGTTGTGTCGTCAGTTGATATTAATTCTTGATGGAAGCAGAAAGGAAAAGGAAAATGAAAAGACACCATCATAGTTACTTTCCGTTGTTATTATGTCATATCGTAAATTGTTAACTATGCTAAGCGTAAGCAATATTTTGTTGATTTTTGTTGTTCTTATTTATTGCTCATTTAAATCTTTAACTAATTGTTAGGCACTCATGCACGTACACTAAGCTTTACTATGCTCGCGGCATTTTCATTTAGTTTTTAACATCAAATTCAATCATTGTTAAGCATTTGCTACTCATCAAAATATCAAGCCAAAAAAAAAAAAAAAGAAAAAAATCAAATGAAAGTAAGAAATTCTAAATCGTGTGCAATAAAAAATTTTATTTTATATACCATTACCCAACGCTTTTCTCTCTGCTGAAAACCTTATACCGAACTAAGGAAAACTTTTACCCTCTCATCAATTTTCCATATTTCGATTTTCCAAACCAACTTTTCCAACTCAACCTTCCAAATTTAATTTTAAATTTAGAGTAAAGTTACAATTAAAATAATCAAGGAATTAAATAGATTTTGTCTTTCTATTTTAAACAAACATCTCGATGTGAAGACACAAATTTAAAGCAAATTTAAAAATATATCACATGCCCGACCTAGCTCTGTCTCTTTGCCAATCTGTCAGGACTTTCGCTTTTCTTTCCTTACACGCATTTCGCAATTAGATGGAGGATAGAGGATTTTAAACGTTGTTCGATTATAATGTTCGCCCCTGCATTATAATCAAATCAAAATATGCGTTTAATCAGCCTTCACCCACACAATTTAGCATAGGAAGAAACTTTTCTCGAATTTCCATAGCATACTTATGTGCGCATTTTCCATTTTTCACTTTCGACATTTTTGAGGGTGTGTATAAATATATATTAAGCTATTTAAAAGCAATGAAAACACAAACAATTTACATTACTTATTTCATTTCGCATAAGCATATATAATCCGAATATATATTAACATATAAACGGCATAGAGTCTCAATGTACCATAATAAATAATTATATGAAGAACAAATGAAGGCAAAACAAATTGCATAGCAATAAGTGGAGGCTAAAACAAATATTTAAGTATAGTCTATTAGTTTAATCAAGAAGAACAAGGACAAAAATTAACAAACTTTTTGCTCTTAACTGCGCTACCCAAAAGTCTAACTATAGATGGGATATGCCTAGATGATGTATACACAGATATCTATGGGTTGAAACTTTAGTACCTAACTAAAAGAAAACTTAGCAGCTAAAAACTACTGTTTAACTATTGAGAAAAGACAATCTACTGTAAGCTTAATATATATATATACATGTATATATGTATATCAGACACTTCAGCTACCGAAAGGAATACCAAAAAGAAGATAACGCTAAATAATATTACTTAAAATTTAATTGCAAATAGATAATTTTGTGTAGCGCTACCTAAGCTAAGCTTTTGTGCCTCTCTTTCTTTCTAGACGCTTAAATGATTCGAAAAACTCTGAAATTTTACGAGTTTAAAAGCAAAATACATAAAAGTACATACATAGAGCAAATATTGATATTCTAATAAAAATATATAATTATATGTGAAGAGAAAGTCGTCTAGAAATTTATCATATAACAACTCAGTAGCCAAGCTATGTGCTAAATGCTAGGGCACAAACACTAACAACTAAATTAAAGTAGTTGGAAATTTGTTTAAAATCTAACATAATTCATATAAATACATAAATACATAATATATACGCGTATATAAATGTATAACTCCGAACTTGAAGCATTTAACAAAGAGTTTAATTCACAACAGTCAGATATCTAATATAAATCGTAAGAAGCAACATATATAGAATATATATATAAATAAATTTTGTGACTACATATGACTATGACGAGTACCACTTAAAGTTCAAGTTCAACCGAATGTACTCTTCACATAGAAATTTGCTCGAATATTATTAACACTATATATTTACAATATGGAAGAATATGATATATATATATATGCATATATATGTGTATGTGTGCGTGTGTAGTACGATTACTAAATACATAAAATTAATTGATTGATTACTTTAATAAATTTGATGGCAACAAAACAAAATTTCCAAGTCTGTTTAAAATATTGAAAATATGTATGCATTAACATTTAATATTTAACAGTAAACATTTAACATTTAACATTAACTTTAACATTTAGATAACAATTAATTTTACTATGAAACTATACAAAATGCATATACATATATATATGTATGCATATACACATTTATTGTTAGTCTTTGATTTTTAATTTATATAGCAAAACATTTTTACAAAACATATTTAAATGATTTTTTAAAGTATTTTTGAAAAACTCATATGTGTGTGTTTTTTTAAATCGCATATTTAATTATAAAAAAAAAAAGAAAAAAACAAGCATTAATTTAGTACAAATTCAACAACAAATTACAAAAATATATGTATATCAAATCAAATAAAAATCTCGATGTTTGCCGTAAGCATACTATATATAGAATACAAAAACAAACCTAAATTCAACTTAATAAATTACTTCAAACAAAACAAAATACCTAGAGTCCCGATATTATTGACAGAAGCAAACGCTCTCTGCTATTCCACTGAACTAATATGGTATAATCGGTTGAAAGACAATGTAAGTAACATAATAGATATACGGCTCCCTGTGTATGCGTTATCCATAAATCCAATCAGCAACAACTACACAAAATACAACAGAACTAAATCAGAGGGAATGAGTAAACAATACACTATCAAAGGAATTGCTATTTACATACATATATTTACATACATAAGTACATATATGATAGATTAGATACGCTATAAAATTGTGTGTTCTTTGTAATGAGAGCATATGCGTTTGCCTTTCGATTTTGTGCTTATTATTGCCTTTCTTTGCGATTCTCATAGACTAAATACGTTGGAGGAGTTGAGCTATATATGTATGTGCATATGTACAATTCTTTTAGAGTAAACATAGTGAATTGAAGAGTTAAAGAGTTAAAAGATGTAAGCTATATACATACTATGTACAATATAGACATTTTGCAAAAGGAAGAGAGACAATTGAGTATGAACTAACATAATGAATCTTTTTCTCTATCTTGCTTTGCTCTAAGGACAAACTGTCATGCAAATAAATATGAATATTAAACAAAATATGAACATACCAAAATATGAACATACCTAGTGCAACTGCAGTCGGTGTTAGGGGCTTTACGGAAAGCTGAGTGCCTGTTTATCGCTGATTGCTCACAAATTAACATTATGTGTGCGTAAACTATAGATAATCTTATCGGCTGAATTTGCAAATAATTAGATAAACATGTCGCTCGCACCTCTTCAGTAAGTCAGCAATCAGTCAGTTAGTCAGACATGTTGGAGTACTTTGTCCTGAATTTGACCAGCGGCAGAAACAGCTCGAATACCAATACCAATTCCCAGATGCATGACAACAACGAGTGCATGTTCCAGCGTTCGACTCCGTCTGTGACGTTATTCCTTATCTATGGGCTGGCTGTGCCCACGTTGTCCTCCTTTGGACTATGCGCGAATCTAATCAATGGCGTGGTCTTCATGCGGCCCAAGATGACGCCCTCGGCCTTCACGTACCTGGCCGCGTTGTCCTGGCTGGACTGCGCATCCTGCCTGCTGATCACATTGACCGCACTCTCGCGCAGCTACTTCTACCGGAGTCCCGCCTGGGTGGCCTACGACTACCAGTGGCAGACGCCGCTCTTCGGCATCAGCACGGGCGCTGCGAATCTGATACTCGCCTTCGTCAGCCTCGACAGATTCATCTATTTGTCTCGGTTTGCGGCCAGCAATGGGGCACCCAGGTTTTGTCGTCGCAAGGTGGCTCGCCTAATGATCTGCTTGGCCATACTCATCTCGGTTCTGCTCAACATACCCTACTTTTTCTGCTTTGTCGTGGACTTGAACACAGCCACCTGCCATGTCACCAACTTCTACTACTCCAAGTGAGACCCGCCCTGCCGTTTGTTGTTGTTTTTCATTATCAAGTAATGCATTTCTTTCGCAGACTATATCAGGTGCACAACTGGTTCTCGTTTGCACTGTTGGCGCTCACTCCTGCCATATGCCTGCTCCTGGGCAATGCGGCCATCATCATCGCCTTCAGGCGTTGGACAAAGCAGGGCAAGCGCTGCCAGCAGAGCTGCTCCAGCGACAATGGGCGCAATACGAACAAACGTTATCAGGTATTGCTCTAGTCACAATCATTTAGCTATATATGCTCAGCCTTCTCCTCCGTTGCAGCATCAAGTAAAGCTCACCATCAGCATTCTAATTGTCATCACTCTATATATGGTTGGTGAGCTGCCCGCGCACATGACGTCGAGGAAGAGCTCTCTGAATCTACTCTTTGGCGGCGATACGAGTAAAATGAATCCGGAACTGATGGAGCATCTGGAGGTCATATTTATAACTCTCAACGCTCTGCAGCTGAGCATGAACATTGTGGTCTACGCTGTGATTAACCCCAGCTTCATGCCCGAGTTCTTTCTCTGCCTGCGCGGCACCTCGGATGTCTGCTTTCGCTTCTGCTGCTTGACCAGCTTGAGCCGCGGCTGTCAATGGTGCTGGAGTTGGCGGCGTCGTCGTCGGCAGCCGCGTGCCGAGGAGCATGTGAGCACCGTCGATACCCAGCAGCTGCCGCCGGACCAGGCGCCCCAATGTGGCTGTGAGAGCTGGAGCAGCGACTCCGGCTGCGTGGATGGCACGCACTGCAAGATGGCAGCGGGCACGTTTACCTTCCTTGACGATTGCCAGGCGGAGCAAGAGGCACAACCGCAACCGCAACCACAGCCGAAACCGCAGCCATCAGTTTTCATCACCAATGCCAGTGGATGCATGCAGCACGCTCCGCAGGACAGCGAGGATGTTATCTCCTGCGCTATGTGATCTTAACAAACAAAGCTACTGGATTACCCATGCATATTGGAAATATGTATAACTATCAATAATGAATTATTAATTACTTATCATTTATAATTGTAGGTTATTTTATTTTCTTGAAATCAATTTTAGTTATTTTACTTTAATAATTCTTTATAATTTTAGACTTGTTATTTTATTATTACATTTACATTTTTATAATTCAAATCCAATGCAATGCAGTGTGTTATATATATACAGCCTTTAGTTTATTTATTTAGCTATTTAGAAAATCAATCAAAATAAATATGACTTATTAGATTGGTGCATCTACGAACAGTATTACACAGAACAGTACATAAAATACTTCTCGACTTATCTGCAGTAGTTTAGCTTATAAGGAAAAAGCTTGACTAATAAATAATATGTTGTTATATACAATTTAATCTTTCTTTTCACTAAAATTGACCTTAATGTGAACGTTAAGCTCTTATCTAAAGGCTCGTTGCAAAATTGTGTATAATGATTGTTTTCAATTGGACTTTATAATAAAGGAAAATCTATTTACATTAATGTAAAACCGATTTGTAATGAGTAATGAGCGCCCCTAAACTGAATGTTTGAGCTATTTACAAAGATGCTTATCATCATAAAAAAGTTCACCATCTAAATGTTAATACCTTGACATGAACATTGAATTCATTGAGGTTGACCGTGAGAGAAGTCTTCAATGCAAATATTTTAATCTGGCGAGTCGGCCAATCTATTTGCCCTGCAGCTTGGATAGAAAGTCCATCAAAAACTGATGCCGCATTCTTATCTCGGACTCGTTGCGATTTTTCAGCTTAGCGCCTATGCGCTTGATCAGATGCTGACGATCCCGGGCACCACGTTTCATCTCAATGAGTATCACTTTGTCCTCTTCTCGCGTCCAAGCGGTCGTTAAGCTGGGCGGAGCTGGCGGCGGTTTGAATATGTCTTCTTTAGGGTTAGTTGATGTCGTCTCCGTCTCTGTGTCCTCCTCAGCACAGTTGGCCAGACTGGCCACCACGTCCAGTTTGCAATCCTCGTCACTATCGAACTGCGTCGTAATCACATGCTGCGGCGTGCTCCCAGAGCTCGTCGGAGTCGCAGTCAATTCATCGTTGGACTGCTCAATGTCCATTTTAATGGCGGGGAAGGGTTGCTGGGAGAGCGAAAGCTCAGACTCCATGCCGGCATCCGCTGCATCAGCTAAGGGCTTTTTATCATCCTGCGAGTTAAGCTCCAGCTTGGCCGCGGATACTGAAGTGCTTGGGTGCTTGGCTTGCGCTATGATTTGTATGTCCGCCTTGGTGTCTGTGTCGCTGCTGTCCTGGCTAATCAGGGTGCGTAACCGCTTGGCAAACTCAATGGCCGGAGAGGCGGGCGCCGGCGCTCGCACTGCTGGCTCATGTATGACCACCATGGGCTGCACATTGTAGCGTGGACGTGCCTGGCTCTGATTCGAAGGCGAACGCACCTTTTTGCTTGGCGACTTGCGTTTGTCCTGCTGGGGCGAGGCACCGCTCGATGACCCAAGCAGCGGACTGAGTCCAGATAGAGGAGACCCATTATTTGCCGTCTGGCGACGTGGTGAAGTTTCGCCAAAATTAATCGCCGTCTTCTTCGCGTGTGCATGATGGGGGCCATGATGATGGCCCACATTAGGCGTGCTGCTGTTGGCATTATTATAGCTGCTGCTGTAATAGCTGGAATTGAGTCGCATTGCATGTGCCCTCAATGCCACATCATCGCACATGTCCAGCGAGGAGCTGCTGTTCTCCTCGTCCCCAGTGGTGGTGTCTATGACCAATGTTCGACTGGCATCATCCTCTTCGCTGCGCTCCGCTGCATCATCGCTATCCACAGTGATAGCAGCGCTTATCAATTTCTCGCCCTGAGCGCGCACGCCATGGGCACAGGTCACGTTACTGCTGAGCGGCTCGGGGCACTGCTCATCATATAGGCTGGCAGCGCGAAAGGATAATTTAGCGGGCAGCATAGCTCTAGTTCCATAAAAGATGCGTCCATTGAGATATTTCAATTGGCAGCCCGGTGGCTTGCCCTGCGGCGGCGAATCCTCCTGCAGATCTTGTATGGTTTCTGCGAATGAGCCACTCGTGTTGCCCAGAACCTCGTGCAGATTCATGGTCTCCGCAGGCGGCAGCACTCTAAGGAAAATAATCATGATTAAATTTATTATATGTAAACGAGAGAGTTTTAATACGAACCGCTTTGGTGGCTTGGCCTGTGGAAATTGCTGCACAAACCAATCGCATAGGAACTGATTGCCTTTCAGCAGAGGCAGAATCTTTGCTTCCACCTTCTTCATGCTCACGCTGGGCAGCTCGGCCAGTTCGCTGAGACAGGCATATATCTTGCGCACTTGGGCCGGCTGTTTACAAAAGTAAATGTTCAGCTTGTTGATAAAGTTGCTCGCGTTGGTGATCATGAAGTACTCGAAGTATTTGCCCAGCTCAGCGGCCTCGGCAGGTAGCAGAAAATTGAGAAACACCTCTGCCAGCTCTGGATAATCGGGCAGCAGTAATTTTTCCACTTTCTGAATATATAAATATGTAGAGCATATAAAGAGATGGAGTGAGGAGTGTCAGAGTACAGCACTTACCAAATACAAATCGGCAACCTTATCTTGCTTGGGATCGAACGTTTGCAGCAGATGATTGAACTTGTGACAGTCGTCCATGCGATTGGAGGACAGCAATGCCTCCTCCACTTTCTCATAGAAGTTGTAGGCGAAAGCTAGGATTAAAGTCAATTAAAATAAGTCAAACAGAAGTAACTATTTGGGTTATCCTACTGGCATCCTTGCGATTGCGCTCTTCTGGACTATCCGGCTGCAGCATGTGCCGTAGCATCTCCTCCTGTCGATTGGCTCGTCGTGCAGCCTCCTCGCTACGCTGTCGCTTTTGTTGCGGCGTGGACTCCGGCGTACTCTTGGTCTCGCAAAACATTTTCAGATCCCCCAGCAGCTGTGTGTACAGTTCGAGCGCAAGGAAACGTCTGTGATAGTATTGCACCGGCGGCGAATGGGCGTAGAGCTCGCTCTGCTGCTGCAGGTAGCTGGCGTAGCTGGTGATTAAGGTTTGACAGCGGCGCTGCAGTTTACGGCGCAATCGCTGCCGCAGAGCGTGGTAGCGACTTCGCGGCGGTGCTGTAGAGGGCGATGTTGTGGCTGAGCGGTGTGCTCGCTGTTGGCGTGCCACAACCAAACGCTTATAAATCCGACAACGAGCTCGATTGGCACTGCTCGCAGAGCTACTTAAGCTGTTAGTTTTTAGTACCTCGTTCTTTTGTTCCGCAGATTTTTCTAATTCTACGATCTTTAAGCTTTCTGTCTCTGCATCAAAGCAGAGATTTACAGCGGGCGGAGCATCCTTTGGCAGTGGCGGCAATGGGGGTGGCAGCGCCAATAAACTGCATTCGCTGCTTGGTTGAAGGGTGCTATTTATGTTCGCTACATTGCTAGCGTAGTCCGTGGACTGAAATGGCACAGAGACGCCGGCCTTGATGGCATTGGCTCCTAGATCGCTACCGAAGACGTAATTTACATTAATGGTCAGCGAAGACAAACTTTGCTCGCCAGATCGGCGGGATCGCTTGCGGTGGGAACTGGACGTGCTTTTCTCCTCTGCTTTTGTTTTCGAAGGTGTGGTCGACTGCGCCAAGCTAGTGACACTGCCATATGGTGCTGAGGGCTCGCCCAAACTGTCGGGCAACAACAAATCTTCTCCCACCGCCTCGCGAACAAACTCCAAATACGAAGTACTCGCTGCTGATGAGGAACGGGATGAAATCTGTTTATGATTGCTGCGACGGGCGCGTTTGTCGTTATTCCAGTTTTTCTGCAACAATATTTACAATTTACATCACTCCAACTACATTTCTCATCCAAAAATGTTGCATATTTACAAACTTTGCTACTGTAAACAGCAGAATTGTTGATATTTCATCGATATAACATGTCGACTTTTCGATAATAAAGCGGGAAACATGGATTCCTCCAAGTGTTGCTCAAAACAAAAGAAAAAAGGCTAAACTGACTTCAAGCTATATTCTTGGCTAAATTCATTATAAAATCTGCAACACATTTTTCCATGTTTATAATTAGCATTATTTAATTTTTGAATATGCTGACAATCTACAAATTTTAAATTTAAGTCATAAAACCGCCTAGTGACACACTAGACATTGAATTCCTGCGTGTAAACAGTCAGTGATGGCCGAAGTTATTAGTCGTCTATCGATTACACTGCAAATTCGAGTAGCAGACAGAGAGTGTTATCGCTCTTTTACACATCACTTAGCGTAAGAGCGAAATAGAAATTTTTTGTTTTCAATTAATTTTACGGTTTAATACAGTGGGACTACTCAAAATTAAACAGTTTTCAATCTCAACAGATACTGCCGTGACCATACCCTAATTAGAAGATCCAAACAACGCCGTTGAAACAACATCTGGCAGCTACAACAAAAACTGACCACGTCACATAGAGTTCACATTCCGCTTTTCCAAACAGACAAACAAAATGAGCAAAGTGACATTTAAAATAACACTCACGTCGGATCCTAAGCTGCCATTCAAAGTGCTCAGCGTGCCTGAAGCAACGCCCTTCACAGCTGTGCTAAAATTCGCCTCCGAAGAGTTCAAGGTGCCCGCAGAGACGAGCGCCATCATCACAGACGACGGCATTGGGATTAGTCCTCAGCAGACAGCGGGAAATGTGTTTCTCAAGCATGGCTCCGAGCTGCGTCTGATACCCAGAGATCGTGTAGGCCACTAGCCGACTACTAGACCTATTATTTTTGTATTCATGTAACATGTATAGAGATTTCCCCGCTATTAAATTTGTAAAGCTCGTCAACATAAATGAGCTTTCAGTCATTTCCAAACCTCGTTAAATTCTAATTAATATTAGCTTACAACTGTACAAAATTTAAACTTCCACATTCTTCCGTTACTCAGTTCGCCAGTCAATCAATTGTACAACTAGATTTTTATATGGGTTTGTGTACTTACCTCAATGTAATACTTCCAGCCACTTGGCAGCGAATCGTATTGTTCCCTCGGCGTACGCACAATGCCGCCCTCGAAACCTATCAGGGTTTGATTGACGGGCGGTGCTCGCTCGTGGTCAAAGTAATATTTGACAGGATTATATTGCTCCATGTCGCAGAGCTCCTGGATCTTGACGAACACTCGGCGTGCCTGTTTGCCATGTATTAGATCTTTCACCATGCGGTTGCACGCAATGCGAATGGGATCTGCGCCCTTCCTCACCGGAAACTCGGCACACTTGATTGCCTTAATATACTTCTCGAGACCCATTGCCATGAGTTGGTATTCCGACGGTGCATAGGCGGCGAATTGGACGGTTCGTGGCTGGAAAGCCATGCGCGGCAAATACTGCGGATACATGAAGACCTTGCTGTCCAGCATGAGATCCATGATGCGGGGCGGCAGGCGTGGCACTTGGCGGGTATGACCATCGCTGGAAAGTCAAAAAGAAATATGATTAATGGAATTCACAACAAGAAGGCATTTTTCATATTGTACCAATGTCAATATGAGTCAACTCATATGGCTACTCTCAAAGTGGAAATTAGCTAATCAAGGTTAGCTAGAAATAAAGTTAACACTCTTTTTAGACTTGGCTACTTAGCCATACGAAAGGAAGGTAGTATTCCGCTTGCAGCTAATGTAAAGCTTTCTACAACCTCCTTGGCTACTTGATGAATGAGAATACCTACATATAGGCCTCACAATTAATCTGACATGTAATTCATTAGTTATTTACTCCTTAGCTTATTTATTATAAGGAATTCCTCCAACTTCACTCGTTTCGATATAGTTCCCACTCTCTAATCAGATATAGTTAGTATACGACGCTTGGTTATAAAAACACTTACGTTAGCTCCGCCTCCTTGTGTATGAATCGCATCATACTCTGGTTTTCTTCCTTGTACTCATCGCTGCTGAGATCGTGCTCCCATTTATTGATCAGCTCTATGGCCCCATTCAGATTCCAGCAATTGAAACTGGCATCCTTGACAGCATGCTGCTGCAGCTCCTGCAGCATTTGTCTGGGCTTATTCGCCATCGCATAGAGCAGCGGATGCGAATAGGTCTGCAGAAAGGTCTGCGTCAGCATTTGGGTGTGTATGCGAAGCTGTTGCTGTAGCAGATCATGCTGCAACTGTGTGAATCCTTTGGCATTGCTCGCGGGCTCCACCGGGTTTGGCTTTACATGACGCAAACTCTCAAAATACGCCTCGTACTCGGAGTGCAAATGCTTGCGGATGGATAGATACTTGCAGGTGAAGTTGATGTCATAGGGCTCGGGATAATGAAAGGAAACAGGATCTGGAGATGGAGCAGTAGGAGGTACAACAGTAGGAGCAGAAATTGGTGCCTGACATTCACCATCTACCGGTAATACCTTGGCCAGCTGAAAGCAATTGCGCTGGCCTGGCACAGGCACAGCTATTAGCTCTGGAATATGTTGTCCAATGGCCTCCGAGGGAATGTTGACCACTGTATAGGATCCGTCAAAGTGGCTGCCATTCAACGAATTCTCCGCGATGGGCACCGACACCAGGCCGCAGATTGTGCTCGGCGTAGACATCACTTGAGGCTGAAACCTCTCCAATCCCGATTGATTCGCCATGGTGACGTCCGCAGTCTCGGCAGGGCCCTGTACATCGAAGTCTATTTGACGCGTCACTTGCTCGATGGGATTCAAGGGCAGCTGGACTGGCGCTGGCGGAGCGCTGGTTGGTGAGGCCGGAATTGCTTCCGATTGATTTAGAAACTTTTGTGGTGTCTCCAATTCAATGGAGTCCAGCGAAACTCCCTCCTGCAGTAGCCCGGCAAACAGCTCAGAGACCAAATCTGTCAGCTCCTTTTTCGAGATGTTTACATCACGCAGTTCTTCCGCATCCACGGGCACCATCTCAGCGGCAACATACTCCGGATCGTTGATCGGATCATCGTCATCGCCCAGAAAACTGTTGTCTGTAGAGAAAAGAGGAAGAATGAGTGACTGATTTAATCATTTGAGCAATGATTCAGCTAGTAACTGATTGGACCCGTTCACTGTTTTAAATTACTATATGACTGTCTTGATTTACTTATGACTAACTAATTTAAGCTTAAGAAACTAACTAACTAATTAGCTGATCAATCATTCCATTCTTCTAATTGTCTGAACAAGACTGTAGACTGATACATTACATTCGACCGATTAGATTCCTACTTCCTCTCTAAAATCTCTGATGAAAATTATTTTACTGATTAGCTGTAGCAAAGATTCCACTTACTGAGCGGCTTGGAGAAGTCAGTGAGAAACTGCATCCACTCGGCATCATTGGCCGTCATATCATATTCGGGCGCATCGCTCTGCTCCACATCTGGTGGCACAAACTCCGACTGTAAATCCTCGATTGTTGTCTGCTGCAAACAGAATTTGGAGCGCGTGCGCGTTGCGATGCGCGGATCCTCAGCATTTTTATCTGGCGGCAGCTTAAAACAGCCATCGGAGGTGAACTTGACAGGCGACTCCTCGTTGGCGGTTAGCGGCGTTTGTGGTGTGCAGGGATTCGAGTCGAAATCAGAGGTCGTGTTATTGGTATCTTCGTCGGACTGAAAGGCAGATGGGATTATTAAATAGAGTATGCGTTTGCTGAGGGAATGTTGCCCACATGAAAGTCATCTTCCTTGAAGGTGTACTCTTCGTCCTCCTCGTCCGAGTGCAGATCCTCGCGTATTAGCACCTCAATCTCATTCAGCGGTGTCTCATTCAAGGGCGGAAGCGTTATGCCTGGCGTTCGATTGAGCTCCCGGGCTTTGGCGCGCGTTAATTTCGGCACCGAGGGGGTCTCTGTGATAATAATGGCACCACGCTGCTGTTGCTGTTCTTCTTCGTTGGCTGTTGCAGCCTCGCGCTTTTCCCTGGCCAACTCATCCTCAGCTTTCAGTGTAACCAGGGCCAGGACATGCTCATTGCGCACGACTCGGCGCACAACTTTGTGCATGTCCTCGCTGCTGATCGCATTGGCACGCGCAACCTTGCGAAGCCGTCGGTCAATCTCTTTGGCATCTTCTATGTTACAGTCGCCCAGCTGCGAGTCCAGACTGGTTCTACGCTGCTGTGGGCTCTCCTTTTCTATGCGACGTCTTTTGCGCGGCTGTCGTTGCCGGCAGCTGCCTTTCGGCGTCGATTGAACACTATTGCTGCTACTACTGCTGTTGCACGCCCGTGTGGGCGTTTTCATATCAACTGCATCCGCCTTTTTTGAGCTGTTTGGCATGTTGCTGGTACATCTAAATTGGAGTTTAAGTAAATTTCACAAGTTAAAGCGCACCAAAACAAAAGCGCCTCCAGTGTGTACATAAAATGCCGCCACTCAAAAATTGCCAGGGCTACTTTATCGATACAAAATTTTTAATTTCGATATTCGCAGTTCTTGTTTTCAGTAACAATGTTTATGTTTTACAAGACAATCTTTTATATAGGTTTTAAAATATAATTTAGTCCATAAATTAAGTTTGTTTTTATATATTAATACTAAAATCGATTTTTTTATTATCGAAATGTTATATACGATATTGTGTTAGGCTGCTGCTGTTAATAACATTGATTACATTTATAAAATGAGTCAGTTGTGCAGACGAGGATTTTTAAATATTTTTAAAAAGGCATTCGCATTTTTAAGATAAATAATCTACTTTGTTTAACTAAACAAATTTATTGCAAAACATACGCTTTTTTCAATTGTAATCTTCAATTTAGAAAAAACAAATATTTGGCTTATCCAGTTTGTTCATAAACTACTGGTTCAGCCGGAAAACATAACAAGTTCCATTGACTGTAGTGGACTATTTTGTTTAACTATTCCGAATGTAGAAACCCAACTTGATTTTAGTTTAGTCAGTTTGCTGTTTTAAAATATAAATAATTTTATTTGTGTGTAATGTCAACGGTATATGAGCTGGCAAACTGCAATAAATCAGAGCAAAAATGCGCATCTGCATGGTATCGGACTTTTTCTATCCCAGCATTGGCGGCGTCGAAGAACATGTTTACAATCTCTCCCAAATGCTGCTCGCATTGGGACACAAGGTGGGCAAAGTGCATCCAACTGGCAATAGGGATCGCCAGAAAATATCTGTGCCTCTCTATATAAAGATTCTTATATGTGTATATCTTATCTAATCTGTAGGTTGTTGTTTTGACGCACGCTTACGGAGATTGCAGCGGCATTCGATATGTGACGAATGGCCTGAAAGTTTATTACCTGCCCATAAAGGTCTGCTACAATCAGTGCATCCTGCCCACTGCCGTCTGCAATGTGCCTATGCTGCGCGCTGTGCTGCTGCGCGAGCAAGTTGACGTAGTCCATGGCCATTCGGCGTTTAGCGCCCTGGCTCACGAAGCTTTAATGGTGGGCGCGCTGCTCGGACTGAAGGTGCGCATCTGCTCAAATCTCAATATATTTATATATAATGCTTTCCACTTTCCACTCTTGCAGACTGTCTTCACGGATCACAGCTTGTTTGGCTTTGCTGATCTCTCTGCTGCCTTAACGAACAAACTCTTGGAAATCACGTTGAGTATGGTGAATCATGCTATCTGCGTCTCACACATAGGCAAGGAGAACACCGTGCTGCGTGCCTGTGTTGCGAAGCATCGTGTCTCTGTCATACCCAATGCTGTGGACACGGCGCTCTTCACCCCCGATCCTTCACAGAGACCCAAAAATGGGGTCATAAACATAGTCGTTGCCTCGCGCTTGGTCTACCGCAAGGGCATCGATCTGCTGGCAGGGGTGATTCCTCGCTTTAAGAATACCCCTAATATAAACTTCATTATTGTCGGGGATGGCCCAAAGCGGGATCTTCTGGAGGAGATTCGCGAGAAGACGAATATGCAGGACCGAGTCGAGATTCTGGGCGCTGTGGAGCATGCCAAGGTGCGAGATGTCCTTGTGCGTGGTCACATCTTTGTCAACACTTCCCTGACGGAGGCATATTGCATGGCCATAGTGGAGGCCGCTAGCTGTGGCCTCCAAGTGGTGTCCACCAGTGTGGGTGGCATTCCCGAGGTGCTGCCCAATAACCTAATACTGCTTGCTGAGCCGGACATAGAGGCAATCTATGGGGCGATATTGGTGGCCATAGATCGGCATCGCAGCACTTGCATCACGACGGGAATAGAGAACAGCACTAGGAGACCGAGGCGTAAGAGGAAGAAGAAAGGCGCAGCTGGAGGACATGCCAATGGGGTTGCGATAGGTGCAAAAGCAGTAGAAGCAGGCGCCGCAGGTGGCGGAGATGCGAAAAAAGGAAATACAGCGAAAGTTGGAAATGGTGCAGGAGCAGCTGTTAGATTAACAGGTGGAGCAGGGAACGATGCCCCGGGAGGAAAAGACTCTACAGGAGCAATAGGAGGTGCAGCGGCTTCAACTGCCAATCAGGCGGAGCCTGTTCTCTGTCCGCACAGATGCAACGAGCTGGTGGAAACTCTCTACAACTGGGAGGACGTTGCCCAGCGCACAGTCAAGGTCTACGATCGTGTGCTAAGGGAACGCGCCTTTACGCTCAGCGAACTGATCTATTCGGTCTACCAGTGTGGAGCCTGGTTTTTGGCGTTCCTAGTGGTAGGCCACTTTACGTTGCGCCTGATGGATCGCTGGCGGCCCCGCAGTCGCATTGAGTTTGCCCACGAGGCCAGACGAAAGCCTTGATAATGCTACATACATGTGTTCCACTAGAACTTCCAATTCATTGTTAGTATTGGTTATAGATAATTTGTCAATTAGTTCAAATATACCAAGGAATTCGCTATAAAATTTTCTGATAAGATATGGATTTGTCTTTAACCGGCTAATGCTACAATGCTGTAGATAACATACATACATACATATTCATACATATTTTTTCAATAGGATTAAAGACCGCTAGAATTTTAAATGATTTTGTAGTTTTCTGTTAATATATGTAATTGATTCATTCAGAGATTTTAATGAAAGTATTACTATCGAATCTAGTTTCAACAGCCAGCTTTATTTTGGAGTATCAATAATTATAGTTTTCTAATACATCCAATTGGTATCAAAATTTATAGATATAAAATTCTATCACTTAACAGTTTGCTGTTAATTAACATAACAAATAGATGTTAAAAGAATTCTATGTTCTTTAGAAATGCAGAGCTGCGGTTAACATTTTAAATAAAATTAACATAGCAGAAGAGCAAATGTGCGCCGCTTGAAGTTGGCTGCAAACGCTCAATTGAATTTATTTTACGCGCTTAAATCGATGACACAATTCAAATCGATAGCCTTGCTTCAGTCTTAAAACAAATGCGTTACGGTGAGGTTGTATGCGCGCGTGAGTTGCGATCAATGAAATAATAATTAAATAGCGAAATAGCCAGCGGGCAAATACGCCAAACAACAATTGCGTGCAGTTTCCTATTGCCTATTTTAAATTTAAATCGAATTTATTCTGTCCACAAGCAATCTGCATACTTTACTAGAGCAATTCGTGGAAGCGACAATTCAAATATGCTGCAAAATTGTTAGCGCGTAATTTTGTGCGTTCTGTGTGAAAAGTGCAAAATACTTGGAAATTTGTGAATTCAAGTTAACTGAAGAATTGGTCCATTTTATTGGGAAGCCCGCGCAGCATCCTATTGGCACTAATGACGTCATAGGCGCGCTACTTTTATGTCCAGTTAGCTTCTTGCTCTTTGTGTATGAGCCTTTTGCCTCAGTGTGTGTGTGTGAGTGAATGTGTATGTGTGTGTATTTCTCTGTGTGTGTGCTTGGAATTGGAACGGGCTGCTCATTTATTACGCACCACACTTGTAGCTTTGGCTAGTCCTTGAATATACCTCTCTCTGTCTAGCGCTCTCTATCAGAGTGGCCTTGGGCTAAAAGCCTTTGTTATTCCAGCTTTCGTATATCCTATACATATATATGCCGTTATTTCATATGTTTCATTTTCGTTTCCATTTGAATTGAAATTCGATATCGCGCTCCGCTTTGCAAAACGGAACAAAATAAACAATAAATAAATCGACAAACGTGAATTTAATCTAGTTTTGTGTTTTCTTTTCAATTTGATATTTTAGCCTCAGTAAAAACCAATTTAAAAATTCGAGTTGCATTTGGAGAACAAACAATTGAAATCGATTCAGGTGAGTTTAACTTAGGACAAGTAAGATATATGTGAATATATTTTAAATGTCTATTTATTACCTTAGATTAATAAAACTTGACCCACTGTTCAGCGCGAAACTCAGCAATAAAATTAATTCCTCAGAAATTTTAGTATTTACTCGCAAAGCGGAACCAATAATCTTTAAAAATGCTTCCCCATTTGTAAATATTACATATTTATATTATCAGCTTAAGATAAGCTTACTTTAATTTACTCACTTTTTAGCAGCTGGCCGGAATCATCGTTTTAGCATCTGTTCTTTTTTGTTGTCTTTTAGCCAAATTGTATTTTGGTAACATTAAGACTTCAAAGTTTCTGAGCTAATGAATTTTTAATGCGCCCTCAAAATCTGGGAGACACCTAGCGCTCCTCCAAAGGAGCAGCAGCGAAAAAAAGAACTCACATAAAAATTCAGCTGTGGATTGTGGCCAGCTACAGAATGTATTCCAAAATTCGGTTTGCGCCTCGCCGGCTCCCACTCCCGCTATCTGTCTCCGCCATTCTCCTTGCCATTTGGGGGAGGCTGTAAATAATGAAACACCAGACAAGCAGCAGACTGAACAACAAAACAACAACAACAACAACAAGGAGAGAAACGTGCAAAAAGTGTGTGTGTTGAACAATGTTGCGGGGCATTTCCAGCATCCAAAAAAAGCATATGGGAAGGAGGAGAAGAGGGTATAAAGGATAGCAGTACATGTAAAGTTGCAGCACTCTAAGGAATACGGGGACATCATAATCAAAGGCTTTTATTGTGCCATCAAATAACCAGAAAACTGTTAGCTCAAGCGTTTGCAGGGAGTGAGAGCGGGCGAGAGAGACATAGATGGAGAGTGGGGGGCATGGTGCGACTTGGGGTTGCCCTTAACTGCTAGAGCCATGTCCGTTATTAGGCCAGGCTGGAATGAAGCGAAATGGCAGGCAAAGGCCGGAAACCGGGCGCAGACAATTTGCCTAGGCACGTTCGACCTAATAAGCTGGACTGAGGGGGGCGCATTGGAGTGAGGGGAATGGAGGCAGTTAGTGAGCAAAGTGCTTCCGTGTTGGGGGCCAAATCGATTTTTATTGATATCCAAGTTGAATGCACCATGAATTCGATTCAGTTTCACCCATTTTGGGGTTGCTCCTCTAAACCCCGGCCAAATTGATTGTCCCAGCGATAATTCTTACTATTTTTTCGTCTAACTCTTAAGCTCTGCATGTAAACGGGCAAAAGCTAGTCGCAAGTTTCTCAAGGAAATCAAAAATGTTGTTTTGTGCGCTTCGACACGCACTTTCTTGATGATAAACTCGATGAGATTCTCCTTTCGAATACCCCGCAAGCAAGTGAAAGTGTTTGACGAAGGGTATATTGGTTTAGGATTAATACAAGTCCCTATTGACAAATTTTTTATATACTTTCTTATTATCCACGAATATATAGTTTACGAATAAAATTTGTATACAAATAATTACAAACATATTTTTTAATTAGTACATTATTTCCAACAACATATTTTGAAACCATACTTCATACAACCTAATAATAATAAACAATCTTGTTATAGTAAGCTAGTAAAAAGTCAGCTTGAATTCGGCTAGAGGGTATTGCTTAGTCGTTCAGCTCAATCTACACCACGTTGACTTCTTCTGCTTTGAAGTTCTGCCCACGAATTTCTTTCAACCATTGCCTTTAATTTTATTTTTGTTCGTACCATCTTCGGTTCCCTTCTCTATCTTCCTTTTTATTTCCCTTCCCTCTTCTCCTCTCCTCTCTCTCTCTCTCTGGCATTTTTGTAGCTCTGCAAAACTTGTTTTAATTTGTTTTGTGTTTGGTTAACTTTTTCGTTTTTTTTTTTTCTCATTTGTTTGACAATTGTGCTCTATTAATAATTATACTCGTGCCTAATTTTATTTATTTATAACTTTACGCACTTTTGACATGCAGCGTTTGTTCAGCAATATTAAATGGAAACACGACTTGAAAAGGGAGCAAGAGCCGAGGAAGAGAATGCTATCTCTTTTTTGTGAAAGGTCGAAACAATGGACACTTGATGGCGCCTGCAGTGAAAACAATTGCTCTTGTTGAATTTCTTCCTCTTGCTGTTGTTGTTGTTGTTGTTGTTTTGGTTGTGCTCGGTCGAAAGTTAAGTGCTTTGGGTCGAGTACGATAAGCGGCTTTTGGGGCTTAATCTGATGGGTTTGCGGGTCGCTCTTGGTAAGATCCAGTTAGATGCTGGGCTCATAGATTGTGTGGGCTTGATAATCAATCAGAGTTGAGCCAGTGAGCCGTGTGGAAAGCGGAAGTATAAAATTCATCTTTGATTAATCGGATCGAATTGTTCTTATCGTATATGGAATATGATGCACATAAAGGATTTGCCTGAGAAGTAGAAATTTTAACGTATTTGTATGTACTATATATTGGTTATCTATACGCAACAAACACTAATGCATTTCTCCTGAATGGAGTGCTGAAATATGAGTGAGAAATATGACACTATCAACCTTTTTATTATAATAGTATAACAACATAAATTCGCCCTTGTATACCCATTACTCTTCACATCGTTCAGCGTCTCTTTATCTACCCAAAAACTTTAGAAAACCTCCCCTTTAGCTGCACGTTCTATTTCAACTAATATCAGTGTATAATCGTTATAGTTATTGCTCACACAGAGTCCTCCCCCAGAACTTTTGACTCTGGTCACACCAACTCATCAACGCCCTCGAGTTTGACCTTTGACAACTGAACCCCGAAAAACAAGTCAGAAGTCTGACGTCCATCAAATTAGTTCATCGATTTGCTGGTTGGCAGCGCGTGTGACAGAACACGCTGCTCGTCTCCGAAGGTCCTTAAACTCATTCAGTCAACTTAAATGCACATTTCCGTTCGTCAGGCCAGGGCTAGGGGCGGGACGAGGAGGCGTGGCAAGCGCCGCGAGTTGGCGCCACATTTAAAAGGCCATTAAGCACAGTTGCCCAACCACCCACAACGAGAGAGCAACTGTGAAACCTACCGCAACTGCGATCTATACACGAATACATATAGATATACATTTGTATATATACATACGTATGTATGTGTATCTGTCTGTATATGGGACATTCGGCAACGAAATCGCGTGCTTGACGCAACTTAATTGAGCCCCAAATGAAATTTCATAATAAGCATGGGCAAAAATTCAATGAAAACAAGGAAGGCAAGAACAAAGAAAAAGCGCAATGGAAGAATTTATGACTTTTTGGGACTCCTGCGTGGAGCCAGTGGGACTATAAAGTACACTGTGAGAACCAGTTTTAATATGAGCTGAGCTCTTTCTTAATTAAAAATATTTAGGATAAACAATTTGTATTCTTCACAAACTAAAAAATCTATGGAACTGTTCATTTCAAGCAAATGGAATATCTATAACAGATAAATGATTTCAAATTAGTAAAGCTCTTTGCTGTCTCGGTTCATATGAATATTCACATAACGTAAAACATGTCTCCATTTAGATTCTGAAATAGTTTTTTGTTCATCAACATCGTTAGGCATTTCGCTGAGTGTAGGCACCAAAGAGCTCCCCGCAATGCCACAAAAGTTATGCGTGCCAGCTTCGTGGATGACTCATGTCCCGGCTGCGACGGCCTTCACAAGGATTCAATCTGCTCGCTA